ATCCGCATCGAATGATATACATGTTGACCTCGAAAGGTCAAGATCAAAGGTTGACCTCAGGTCACGTGACCTCGAGGTCTATCATTCGATGCGCCTTGACGAGCTGAACACAATGAGACCATCCGCGCGGCTGTATCTTGTTCCTGTACGGAGTTACTGGCAAAAAAACCTTTGGTGACCTTTGATGACGTCACATGACCTTACAGCTGCCCAACAGCAAAACAGACCTCAAGGTAGTGAAGGTTGATCGTATATGAAGTCATGTATGGTTTATGGGGCCATTCCGACCCGTTTTAGTGGTAAAAACAGGGAGTTGTTTTTCCCCATTGATTTATAATGGGGAGGTCGAGAAATTGACCTGACCTTAGGTCATCGATATCAAAATTCCGAGATATAAAAATTGTAGCTACTAATGACCTTATAACCTCCTGCGACTTTCAAAGGCGTCAGACATCTACTGTAGCTCTGGCACGGTGACAAAGTTGCAAAAAAGTGACTTGAGGTTGGGCCATTCAAAGTGACCTGGTGACCTGACTTTAAAAGTTAGAAGGTTCAAACTTGCACACCATGTGTAAAATTTATGAGAGAATAGTCGTACCAAATTTCGCGGCGCAAAAACCTCAGGGGAGGCGGATATCCCCCCCCCCCGTCGGTGCGCGGGTTAATATGTCCAACCTCTCGCACTTGTACGGAAAGGGGTTGGGTGAAGCCCCACTCGGTCCTAACCCGCGACCCGTAGGCGGCCGCTTTTTACGCAAATTATTCGCTCAACTCGCGCACCGTAGGGCTATCGGCGGACACTGCCACCCGTAGGAGGGAGGGGGTGCGAAACGTCCCCCCCCCCCCCAAGGGTGGCAGTGTCCGCCGATAGCCCTACGGTGCGCGAGTTGAGCGAATAATTTGCGTAAAAAGCGGCCGATCGTGATAAAACATTAAATGTCCTTAGATGTAATTGATTGTATATACTATGGAAACTTAATGGCCCTGACCCAAATGACTTTTTACTTGTGTTGACCTATTTCTAGGGACCATATAAGGCCGAAATCGCAATTCGGCGTATGTCGGCGCACATTACTGCATTTTGACCTTGAAAGGTAATCTTGAAAATTTGACCTCAGGTCAAGGTCATGACCTGACCTAAAAAGGGTCATGTTGCATATTACTCGATCCGTATCGTCGATTCAAACACATCTAAGGCGTTTTCATCGCTCTAGCGTCAAGCGTGCCCCTGCAAAGTTATTAGCGAAAAACTGTTGGATAAAATTCGTGACCTGAGATGACCTCAGGGACATAACGAGGGTTCACGGGTGCAATTTTCCGGTTCAGTGAGTCATGTTTACTTGTGTCTTGTAATACGATGTTTCAAGGCATTTAGAATGACGTTTGTCCAAAAGAAAAGATGAGCAAAAAAGATGTATGAGTATGATAGTGTGACAAAAAAAAAACAAGGTGTTTTTTAGACATTCGCCAAAAACCACAGGGGGGGGCGTGTTCAAACACCCCCCTTCAGCAGGGCGTGGTTAAATAGATGAGTTTTATATGGACCGTATTTCTGCGCTGCGTGAAAAATTATTAACCATTCCGAAGTTTCAGCGCAGTCGGCCTACTTATTGCAGAGTTATTGTAATCAGCACAGACCTGACACTCCTTAGTTGTTTCACTCGTGCCACATGCAGTGGTGACTATTCGTATGTCGGGAGTGGTCCGATACTTATAGAAGGGATGAAACTACCCGAAAATACCAAAAGTCAATCGGTCTAATGGTTACTGGGATATAGGCATATCAAAAACGTTACGTGAGCGGAGCAACTTTGACGCCCCTGACTTTGCACGTAGCACGTGCCGTGTTTGTCATCAATATGCATCGGAAGTAGGTTCATGACTTAAAGAATAGGTCTATCTTCCTGATGAAGAAGGCTATCACTATTCGATCGGTGGAGTAGTTTCGGAGACATCGGTTGTGAAAAGCGTCACGGGGCCGGGGCTGCGACTGCTCGCTCGTTGACTATAGCATAGTTATAAGAATAACACTATTTACACAATGACTATAGGATAGCGGTCAATTGTAAAGTATCCATGATAGTTGGATAACGACAACTCAAGAAACTCAAGATTACAAAACGAAAATAAATATCGTTTTGTAGTCTTGAGTTTCTTGAGTTGTCGTTATCCATAGCGGTCAATATGAACAAGTCAAGATATAAGTTTGTATAGTTGTATTTTGCGCACATATAACAATAAGATTGAACTAGTGATCAGATATATAAGGATTACAATGCCAATTATATATGTTCCAAAGACCAACATAAGTACAAAATAGCAGTTAGCACCATCTAGTCAGATATTAACTGAGTAAAATTTAACAGATGTGTATAGATAATCGCACATTATAGTGCTAGTTAGTTAATGACCGTGGCAGCGGCACGGTGCACTTGTCACCTGGTTAGCTACACCACAGTGATGTCCTCCTTTGTGTCGAGATTAGTTAGGTACGCGGGCCTGATCTTCATCTCGGTCTTCTTCAGTGAGTTATAGTCCCTCCACTTCCACCACCATATTCCAGTGATGGCCCACTCGCCGCCGTCCCTGTACGGTCCGTTCAGGCTGCTGGACCCACACGCTCCGTGCCACCAGGCCCCCTGACGGCGCTGTGCACAGTGACGGTAAGACGAGTCGTCCTGGTCACGGTCACGGGTCGAGAACTTCATATTCACGTTCAGCCGCAGACCATCCCCGGCAGTTCCCGTGTAATTGGAGGCGCTCAGTCTGTAGCCGTCCACCTCAGACGAGACGCCGAATCCCTGGTATGTAGCGTATGATCGATTGCCGTCGAACGCCTCTAGGTCGATACGTAGCTCGTACCGTCGGTCGTTTGATGAGGTCAGCTGCCTCACTTTCTGCAAGCCCCACCAGAATTCCTGGGCTACATTACCAAATCCCTCCTTATACTCCTTCCACCCGAGGTAGAAGTCCTGGCGGGGTTGGATGTTGTCTCTCCGCTGAAAGACCGTCCACCTCCCTCCGTCAGTGTCCATATCGCAGTACGCCTCGACGGGTGGTTGTTGGCTATCGCCACTCGGCCGAAGGAGGTAGACTCCAGATGGGGAGTCGACAGGCAGGTCGCTGCAATCACGTGGGTACTGCTGGTTCACTGTACCGTTATCTATAGTCACTGTAGCGTCACTGTCCATGGTTTTTTGTTCTGTGGGTTGAACATCGAGTTGGTCCGGCTGTGAGTGCTGGCTGTCGAGCCTTGTAGCCAATTGACGCATTTCAGTCACATGTTTTTCCATGTTGGTGGCGATAGCACTCAGTCGTTCTGCGAGGTCGTTCACAGTGACTGTTGTCTCGTCCTGCTGGGATTTTTGGCCGTTCAGCTGGGTGACGACCTCGTCCAGCTGAGTCTGCTGGCCGTCCAGTCGGCCGGTCAGCTCCTCCATTCGGGAGTCGAGCAGAGTCAGCCTGTCTTCGATGGACTCCAAGCGTGACTCCATTCCGCGCTCCAGAGCCTGCATCCTCGACTCTAGCCTGCTCTCCAGACGTGCCGTTCCTGACTGCAGTTGATCACGCACCAGTTGCTGTGTAGCTTCCCCCTGCGGGACGGAATGGCCCTCGTCACAGCCGGCCGTCACGATGAGCAGGGCTAAACTAAGAAGCATTGCCACCCCGCCGCTGAGGGCCGACATGGTGGCACGGACACAGAGATGGCAGGCCTTCAGCGCCGGCTGCCGACCTCGGACTGACGGCTCGGAGCTGGCAGGTCGTCTGCAGAGCTCGGTACGGCTGACCTCTGTCAGAGGCGCCACATCCGGTGACGCGACCCGGTCCCGTGACCGACGGACCCAGCGCTAAACATTTACAGCGGCCTCTGACCACTCTGTTGCAAGAATCACCTTGCTGCTCCGTGCTCTTAGCAGCCACCATAGGTATCGATTTCTGTTCGTTTGCAGGTGCCCTAATTCACCTAATTTCACTCCGGCCTGACTTTTTGGAGCTGCAACAGGCGGCGCGGGTTAAGGTCACCGGTCGCGGCGAAGTTGTAGTGCTCGGGTACCCACAACTCAGCAGAAATTGACACCTCTGGTAGCCACAATCATAACCCCGTTTATGTGTATGGCCGACGCAGACGTCGACCGAGGAAAAGCTCGCGGTATCCCTAAATTCGCTCAATAAACGACTCAATATGTTTGAAACTTATTAAAACACACGAACAAAACACCAACAACTGTACTTGAATTGTGGCATCTGAAGAATTTGAACGATACAGGCTTGGACGCAAAAACAGTCTATTAGATTTGGTACCTAAGTTCAAGTGTTAAGAAGTTGTTATTTGCTTGTCCTGCCCGCTCCGTCCGGAGCATTGATGCTAACTTTGAAAAAAAAAAAAACTTGTTGCCACTGGCAATTGCTCTGTTTTAGGGATATTATATGATTACACATAACAATTCACGGTGTATTGGAACTTAGTGACATGGAGCCAACCGGAAACATGGTTTCACAGGTTGCGTATGGTGAGATCTACTCGGATCAAAGATCTTGGGTAGTCGTCAGATCCTGTGAGATCATAGGTCCAGGATATATTTAGGTTCAATGGGATCGTAGCCCTAGTTTGTCATATTTTACTTTGATATTCACTGAGATCATAGATCCATCACCCGGACCCATGCACATGTCTGGTGCGGTCGTAAAACGACAGTGTTGAACTGTTTTCTCTCGCCGCGGGGGTGGAGGTGCCGCGGGAAAGGGGGCTTGTTGGTTCAGACGGACAGGGGTCACCTTGGCGGCCCCGGCGCCGCAGAGGCCGGATGCTTTATTTGCACTGTCCCAGCCCCTGCCGGAGCTTGGTCCAAGCTTACGAGTTGCAGGTCTTTCCTACTGACAGCATTTGGTAGCTCATGTCATGGTTCTGCTGTTTGCCAATGCGTACCTGAATTAACTTTTTCATGGGAGCTTCAAATTATTCGGTGAACCGAATGAACCGAAATATGTCAAAACCTTGTCGCATTTAACAGCCGTTCAACGAGACTGAGCCTCAGCTAGTGCTGTCAAATCCCATTTACGACCTCGGTAAGGTTTTGTTCCGGCCTTGGAGCGTCTCGGTGAGAGCTGAGTGACTGAAGGATGGTGAGGTCAGTAATAGTGGCGTGCTAGTGCTAATGAGGGGCAGATGGACGGGCATGTCACGGACGCACGGACAGGGCAGGACGGGACGGGCAGGCAGAGAGAAAAGAGAAGAGAGAGAGAGAGAGAGAGAGAGAGAGAGAGAGAGAGAGAGAGAGAGAGAGAGAGAGAGAGAGAGAGAGAGAGAGAGAGAGAGAGAGAGAGAGAGAGAGAGAGAGAGAGAGAGAGAGAGAGAGAGAGAGAGAGAGAGAGAGAGAGAGAGATGAGACTCGCTGGGAGACAGAGGGAGGGTGGGACGAGGACTGAGATGGAGACTGAGGATGATATACATAGAGCAGCGGATAAGGAGTTTGAGGGAGACAGAGAGACAAGGGACTAGGGAGCTATGCCATTTTATTACTTGATTCTTAATTCCTGTCCAAACTCAACAAAATATCAATGCTGTGATCGTCAAATGACATTCGTCAATCATCCACGCAATATGGTTATAATTCAGAACTGATAAATGGCTTCAAACATATCATTCGCTAATTAAATCAATCCGCTCTTAGTACCTAATACAAATTTCCACATGGCCTCTCTCGCCCAAATTGCCGTTTGCGGCCAAGGTAATCGGCTACTTGAGCCAGACATATTCTGAAATTACACATGCTTTACCAAAGAACCCCGGCATTACTCACTGTTGTGACAATAGTCAGGCGACTTACCCGGGTGGTTTCTTGGACCTGGGACACGGCCGGTCACGTCGTGGGATGGACGCTCGGGCAGCACGGCGAGCTCTCACAGCGACCGGTGCTGAGTGAGTGGCCGGTCGGCTACTTTGTGCAACAGCGCTGAAATGAATATTAGTGCTGAGGAGGCAGCCGATGCGATTACATATTAGATACCAAGTGCAGCGACATAACTTTTGATAATGACACGTAATGTATTCCGGCATCCAACGATAACAAGAAATGAGCAGTCCTAAGATGGGTTGCATAGCATGTATAGTCAGATACTGCCACATACTCTTCAGTCTTCACTACAAGGCGTCGGAATATTAAATAGTACCAAAACAACAATCCTACTCTTTCCAATTTCCCACAAGCCATACTCACCGCATATAATATGAGCTTTTGATGTCCCAAGTAAAAATGATAACACAACCAATCCTACCTAGCGTCGCACCCGACCAATCTCCGGTCCCTCTCACCGGCTGGTGTTCCCAACTCACCAGGACGTTGCCATCTCTCCCCCGGCGCCGCGAACGTCCAGGATCCGCGGCGGCGGCGGACGTGCCGAGCCACTGATCTCACAGTGAACCACTCTGGTGTTCTCGTCACCACCGTACTCGTCCTGATCGACGTCCGCCTTCATCGCCAGTCTGAAACATAACGGAGAGTTACACCAAGCTAATGATGGTGATGATAGTTATGAAGCAATGAAGGGTAGACAGATGGGAGAATGGGAGAAACGACAAATTGTTAGTAAAGGTTCGAGACAGGGTAAAGGGAGACAAGTGAGGGGGGTAACTGGCAGAGGGTAAGTAAGGGACGAATAAAGAGACATTCATAAAAAAGCGATTCGTCGGCAAGCCCAACCGAGCCGGACTAAATCACCAACATCGTTCAGCATAACTTTCGTAACCGACTCGTCCATCCTACCTTTCTCCCTCATCCCCCACTCACTGTTCCGACTCCACGGTGCTCTCATAGAGGTCGAGCAGCACGCGCGCCACCTCATGGTCCTCCAGGAGCTGTAACCTCTGTTTGACCGCCTGCCAGCGCGGGTACTCGGCGTGCAGGAACACCCGGCCGGCGGCCTCGTGGCCGTCCGACACCACGGACACCTCCATATTGTGGTGGGCGGTGGTCAGGTGAGCCTGGGAGAAGAGAGAAGATTAGATACGGAATAGACGAGGAGAGACTGGCACAGTGACTTCTCATCGGATTACTATTAATGAATAACACTGAAGTTTTGGAGTTAGTCGAGATCGAGCTTGAACAAGCAAAAGTGGGTGCATAGAGATAGCGGCAAATCATAAAGGTGACTCAGTTTTATTCAGGTCAAACACACACGTGGTGCCATTTTAACATCTATCAAGCAGTCATCAGGAATATGCCGACTTTCTATGCCTACCGCCTAAAACCGCTTTGCACGACACAGCTTCTCCCGAGAATCGTCCTACCACTTCACCCCCCCCCCCCCCTTCCCGACCCATCCCCTCACCTTGCTGAGGTCGATGTACTGCACGGTATCCACCAGTTGTGCCCCGGTGTGCTCGGCCAGCCGGGTGAACACGGCGCTAGCAGTACCGGGCAGCTCCGAGGCGCGTGACGGCAGTACCATCACCGTGTCGGCCGGCAGCACCGTCAGCTGGTCCACACCGGCAGAGAGCAGGCTGGCCTGCAGGTGGCCGCCGTCCATTGTCCTCCAACTGCTGCTGCTGCTGCGGTGCCAACTGCCGTCAGTGTTCTACAGCCAATGATATGTGTTTAGAGGTAGGTCTGAAAGAATAACAAATGATGAATCTGAATGTGAAGATGGGCATGTTTATCTCGCGCCCCGCTGGGGGTCCTGGATTTCCACGCCCTGCTAGGGGGGAGGGGGTTGAACATACACACACACCCTTCTAACTTGGTACCTGGGCCACGTAGCGATAAGCAAAAGGCGGCGTTCGAAACAGCGCCAAAAATAATGACGAAATCACTTCGGTCACTTTTTGGCCAGGCCAAAGGTCAGGTTACCAGAGGTCATTGAAGGCAAAATTTCGCCGATTTTCATATCGAATGTCGACGATTTCCAAAAAGCCAACGCTTAACTCGGGAACCAATAGAGCTACAGCGCCGCGGAAAACCGCATTCGAACACGGATATTAACGCTCTTTCTGAGTATTTCTCTCTGATTTGACCTAATGTCAACAGTTTTTCCTGCAGGGGGAAAACTGCCAAAAAACCTATCCTTTCCAGAGTTTTTTTTTTTGCAATAACTTTTGACTCAAGCCTTGCAAGAGCTTACTTTTACCGACATCGTGTTCCTCTCGTCAAGACGCATCGAATGAACTGTAATTTGATTTGTAATTCAGTGCTATTCATAATGGCTTTCGTCCAAAAGAGGTGCTTTTCACTTTTCTCCCATTGACTTATAATGGGAAGGTCACAAAATTGACCTGACCTTAGGTCACCAATATCAAATTTCGAAGATATAAATTTTGCATTAACTAATTCTCTTATCAGTCGCTAAATGTTTCAAAGTGATCGGTCACTCAGTGTACCTGTGGCAAACATTGAAGCTTTTTATGAGGTGAGGTCACTTCAAGTCACCTGGTGACCTGACCTTGAATGACCTTGGTCTGAAATCTTAACAACATGTGTAGAATTGATATGGTGTGCCAAAAACAGTATTTGCGAAAAACAGCAGGGGGTGTTCAAACACCCCACGCATGACTATTGTAGGGCGCAGGATATTGTAGGATGCAATGAGTGTCATTGACTGAAAGTAAATTAAATGATGAACTAAGATTTATGTGTCTTAACTCTTTGGTGAGCAAAATTATGAATTATTTTGTGTGATTCATGGTAGTGGTGTCTAATTTTTTAATAAATATGAAGTCAGCAGGGCCTCAGCTAACATGTTAACTGGTGGGCCAAATGGCCCACCAGTAACCCGAAATGGCCCACCAGCCTCAAAGATTTGGCCCACCAGTGATTTTCCGAAAAAAAAATCAAGTTCTCACATTTCAAAATGAACTAGCAGATCTTATCGTACATTTTCAGGCTGTAAAGTACCCATCGGTGAAACATATTCTTGTGAAAAAACTTCAACCTATTGTTTGCAATATCCTCTTGGGGTAAAAAGTGGAAAAACAGACCAGTTCAAACGGTCGGGGATAAGCCTGCGAGCGATCTCAGACGGCTGGCCGATAGACACGATATAAGCCAGAGTCAAACTAGAGGTAGTGTCGGCGACTTCCAGCCGATTGAAGTCTGCAAGCGATATTTGCCGAATTTTGGCCACGACCCTGTCGCCGACGGCCGAATCACGTCGTGTAGGAAATCGGCGAACAGTTTACCGACAGAGGCGAACAGTTCGCCGACAGAGCCCGATTTGCAGAAAACGGGTGCCCCCCCCCCCCCCCGTGCGCGGGTCGAAGCTGATCCATGTTTCGGCGAACATCGCGAATGAATGGCGAATCTGTTGCGAATAGTCGGCGATGCCTTGGCAACAAGTCGACGCACGCAGCGACATGTCGGCGGCGACTCGGCGACTGTTTGGCGATCATGTTCGTTTATTATAAATTCGGCTAACGGCCACGAAATTTTCATTTTTTCATGAAATATTCGTGGCGGTCGTGACGAACCGTAAAATTCGCGCGGTGGACACCGACTGGTCTGCGAAATGCCAAGACCGTGGAAGAAAGATCCCGAATCGGTCCGCGACATAGGATGACTTGCATATTCGTGCACATTCGTGTACCGAAATTCGGCTTTATGCGTCTTCACGACCGGTATGATGCTTGCAGTCACACATCTGACCAGTCGGACGAATTTCGAACCGTTCACAGTCACCGTTCCAAAAAATTCTCATTTGGGCTGAAAATGACACTCTAAAGCCCTTGTTACACTGTCGAATTTTGGTACACGAATGTGCACGAATATGCAAGTCATCCTATGTCACGGACCGATTCGGGATCTTTCTTCCAATGTCTTGGCATTTCGCAGACCAGTCGTTGTCCACCGCGCGACTTTTACGGTTCGTCACGACCGCCACGAATATTTCATGAAAAATGAAAATTTCGTGGCCGTTCGCCGAACTTATAATAAACGAACATGATCGCCAAACAGTCGCCGAGTCGCCGCCGACATGTCGCTGCGTGCGCCGACTTGTTGCCAAGGTATCGCCGACTAATCGCAACAGATTCGCCATTCATTCGCGATGTTCGCCGAATCATGGATCAGCTTCGACCCGCGCACGATTAGGGGGGCCCCCACCCGTTTTCTGCAAATCGGGCTCTGTCGGCGAACTGTTCGCCTCTGTCGTTGAACTGTTCGCCGATTTCCTACACGACGTGATTCGGCGACAGGGTCGTGACCAAAATTCGGCAGTGTAACACGGCTAAGAAAGGATAATTTTCCACTCTCACATTTTGGGTGGCTAGAATTTTCCACTCAGACACCCAAGACAAATCGGAAGTTTGGGACACTGTTCACCAGAAGTGTACATAACTTTATTTAAAAAAAAAAAATATTAGGGTTGCGCACTCACGCGCAGTGCGCTTGGGCTTTTGAGTCAATTCTTTTCCATGCGACACCAATAGGCTTAATGATCATTTTCAAAGATGTTGGGGTTGCTGCTACAACCCTCTTTTGGGGTTCCTGCTACAACCCACTTTATATATAAAGTTGCACTCGTGCTGTTCACAATTCCTCCCGATCCACCCGACAACGCCCGATCTCTTCCGACCGCTTCCGAATCTCCGACTAGTCGGCGAGCGATCCACTCAGGGCTCGCTGATTTTTAACCCGGCACCGCCTGGGCTATTTCCGTACCCACGACAGCCTGGGGGGGGGGGGTCGGATCCGACCCCCCCCCCCCCCCTGTTATCTCGAGAACCAATGGTCGTATCGAGTTCCGCGAGGCGGCGTTCAAAAGGTCTCTACGAGACCTTCCCAAAGCACTCTTAAGATTTTAAGACTGAGGTCAACTTTCGGGTCAAGGTCAGGTCAAAGGTCAAATTCAGGGGTTTTGCATGAATCGGCTTACGGACAGCGGAATCGATAGCTGCTGCTCGAAACTCACCAAAAATGACCTCAAAGGCCTAGTGAAGGTACCATGTGCGTATAGGGGTCATACTAGGTACAGGTCAAGGTCAGGTCAGGTCACGAAAGGTCACGGTTTTCACTTTCTGCTACATGGGCGTGCGACACATGTTTTATGGCTTATTTTTCACGCTGAATCCGATGGTAATGGTTATATGTGACCCCAAGTCACTGTGCTGGTGATAAGTGTGCATTGAAAGCATAAAAAATCGTTTATACTATACATAACTAAACGAGGGCTAAGAAAAAAGGTCAATTTTTCAATTTTTTTATTTTTGACATAAAAATGCACTTTTCTAGACGAGCTTTGTCCCAGGAATCTAGTGGTGCCATTTGTTTTCACATGCGATGTTCAGAAGTGCCTCTAATTCACGAAAATGCTTATGACGTCACCATGCCCTATGCATGTTGGAGCTATTTTTAACAATTTGGCGGTCAAAAATCAAGATAGAAAGTTGAAATTTCGGGCATCTAATGTTCTAATAGAGCTCTACAACATATATTCCGGTTTTTTGGAAATTCCCAAAATTTTGGATTTTATTAGCTGTTTTCAAAAAAATATAGTTTTTTGATAGTTTTAGTTTTTTTTTAGGGGTGAAAAACGCATTTTATGGAAAATCCGAGATAGCCATTTTAAAGAACTCGTTGAGCTGCGTCTTTTGATGTCCTTAATTTGCAATTTGCTTCAAACCCTGATTTTTGGCGATTTTTTAAACATTTACCACTTTTTGACGAAAAACGCCATGTACCTAGTTACATCACTAAAATCGATATATCTAAAAAAAATTGGAATTTTTTCTTAACAATTGCACAGGAGACGTCAAATTGATAGGGGAGAAGGTATGCCAAGTTTCAAGTAGATAGCGAAAGTGGTTCATGAGTTATTCAAGAAAAACGGAGGGGGGGTCAGATCCGACCCCCCCCCCCCCCCCCCCAGGCGGTCGCGGGTCCGGCCGGCCGTAAGTTTTCGTCCAAAGTTTTATAATCTGCGTCAAAATTGTGTGCATACTTGTGCGATTTTATGTGCACTGCCGGAGTATCACCGCTGAGAGGGTTGTGGGTCCCTTCTCTCTCCTCTCTCTGAAGAGTCGGGGGGGGGGGTCGAGCCCCGTTTTTTTATATTTTTTAAATGCAATCCTGACGTTTTTTGCAGAATAAAGTGCCCGAAATCTGGGGAGAAATCGAAAATGGGGGGGGGGGGCTATGGCTACGAAGGTCAGTCCATGTCGCTGCCCAAGTGGCCCACCAGTCAAAATTCCTTAGCCGAGGCCCTGGAAGTCAGTGAGTGGGACAGCTAAAATCTTGCTTCAGTTATGGATGTGTTCTGTGCAGCAAAGTTTCCTGTAAAAAAATAACTACTGATTGTAAGCAGAGGCAGCAGCACAAATTTTTGCCAGTGGGGGCCCAACTGTTGTCTGATACCCCATTGCCCCAATTCATAGAATCAAGGAACTCCTTGCCCCTAGATGTTGCCAATCAAAATTATTATAATTTCATGTACACTTATTGATTATAGCATTGTGCCAGGCCATTCAAATTAGTTCATAAGTGGTGCACACCTCACAATGTGTCAAATTAATGCTGGAAATTGGCAAATGATAGCAATTCCACACAGTGACACAAGGTCAAGGCAGTGACCTGAAATTGACTTTTCGCAGAGACTGACTGAAGCCGTGCAGACATCAATAGTTCAAAAGGGCGTCAATATTGGTGCCAAACCTAAGCCACTGAACATCCCTTCAACAGTATCACATGAAGTATAAAACCATCCATAGAATTGAAACAGAGCAATAGCAATTGCTGCTCTCTCCCCGTTTCCGGATGACAGTGAAAGCAGGGTGCCTGCGGCGATTTGATCAAGGCTCTTGTAATTCACTCCCAAAAAACATGTGACAATCACTGCCTAGAAGGCATTGAGAGGAGGAGAACTACTCAATAGTCATGGACCAAATACAAATATGCTGATGCCCTCAGTTGCCCTGTTTTCACCAGCATTCCTGTCACCCTCCTATCTATAATAAATTTTTTGTTTTACCATTTCATTTCAGGGCTTCAGAGGTGACATTTCTTTTGGTTTGTTTGTTTTTGGCATTCAATGTCTGGCGATTTTCATGGACGTCGTTTGGCTTTCCAGGACGTCAATGAGAATCCATTTGTGATTTTCCACCCAGTCACCGATACTCAGAACACTGGGTCACGGTGCAACACTAAGGCTGACTTTAATGTAAAAACATGCTACATGCAATACAAAATAGGTCGGAAACACGGAGGTCCCCTAGCGTTTTCGTTTTAATTATATGAATCCAATTAGTATCACAACATATATTATATTATAGGGATTAACTAATTTTGAAGCGGGGACCTCCGTGTGTACCGCCACAAAATACATTCCCTGAACTATAATTGCTCAAAATTACAATAAATACACACAACTTCACATTAACCCGGCAGTTGCTGGGGTATTTCGCCACCCACCGTTTGCTGGGGGGGGGGGGGGGGCGTTAAACGCCCCCAGCCGATAACTCGAGAACCAATAGGCGCAGCGAAACGTACGAGGCGGCAATCGAAAGAACGCGACGAGACGCTTCAAATGAGTACTTTAAAGTTGAACTTTGAGGTCACAGGTCGGGTCAAGGTCAGGTCAAACACCTGAAATCGAGCTTTCAGTAGCATGGACTTCAGGACTTCGCAATGAGCGACTCTCGTCATAAACTTTGTCAAAACGGTGCACAATCCATCATATAAGGCCTACAAGAGTGTCAGCCCCATGTAGGGGTCAGTCAAGCATAGGTCAGGGTCAAGGTCAGGTCAACCGGGTAGGCACATATCCCCGAAAATCAAAACTGATATTCACAGCCTGTGACACATGTTTTATGGGTAATTTGGGGCGTAGAACACGATGGTGACATTCATTTTATCATATGTGTACGTGTTTGGCTCAAAAAGTTCAATTTAAGAAATGTATGTATCATGGTCGTGAAGTGGTCACGAGAAATTGCCAAGATTCAGATCAAGATTTTGGCAAATGCGAAACGATAATCAATAATCGAAGATAGCCATTTGATTGTTCATGGTATTGGCAGTCTAATGCCGTTTACGGCATGTCTGTATGTCTATTCTGTGATTTTATATGATTTTTTGAACATATGCCGTTTTTGGTCGAAAACTCAGAAATCACGACGTCACTAAAACCTCGATATCTTAAAAATTTTCCAACCGATTTTTTTGAAATTTTGTCACAATAGACTTCAATCAATTCCCTACAGGTACCCAAAATTTGGCGGCGCGCCGTTTTTATGCTATGGCCCGGCGAAAAAAGTGGGGGCGTTTAACGCCCCCCCCCCCCCCCCCCAGCAACTCGCGGGTTAAACCTGAAACACATTGATATCACCAAACAATTCAAACTCAGATTCATAAAAGGATAATAAGGTAGCCTACCTTAAAAACTTTCTTTCACAACAATATTTTCAGTTTCCAGCAAGGTCAATTTATGCAAAATTATACGACAATACAACTTACAAGCTGTATTTAGGGCCTTGTTACGGACGACGGTGAAAACAGGGCGCCTGGGGCGATTTGATCAAGGTTCGTGAAATTTACACGTGACGTTTGGGATATAGAAGGCCCTTGGAGCGGGAGAAGTTCCAAATGTCACGTGACTAATATGCCCTCCGGCGCCCTGTTTTCACCGGCGTCCCTTGTTACAAGGTACAGCTCCCACACAAAAATGAATAATCGCTTGTAATATATTAAATAGGCATATCTGGCGAGTCAGCGTCAAACACGAGCGCAAACACGGCCGCTAAATTAAAAAAGGACAACATTTTCCCATTGCCAATCACGTAACCATCATACAAATATACCACAACTCAGTGATTACCATACCATACCATACCATACCATAACGTATTCGAGAATTTTATTACCACATTGATTACCACACAGATCAATCACACAGATCAACACTAATCTGCTATCATTCTATTTGTTATAGGATGTGATTTGTGAATCTATCACTTTCGCTTTGCACAGTGACCACAGTGACCTCAGTTACACAGTGACCTCAGTTATATCGAGCACAGTGACCTCAGTTATACGTAGTGGCTGACCTTTGAATATAAACACAATAACTGGTGACCTCGGTTCACTCAAGCATATTCTCACTTCTCAGATTGTAGTTAGAAAGCAGCAGCAAATGACGTTATCGAGACAGAAATGTCACCTGCATGATTCGATTCACCGTATGCGAGAGGGGCGGAGCTTACCATACAGTTGGTGGGGCGGCTGCCCCATCAACTTGCCATTTGCCCTGCACCAATGAGCGTTTTCCCCACAAACTTTAGCTGATCTTTCGGACTTTATGGCTAATTGCAAATCAATATTTTTTACACGAGGTTCTTTGGGATGTCTGTGTAATGCAAAATATTATAGGTATCACTCCTCAAAAAATGGGCTGGAAATAACTTTCTCCGGGGGCGACATTAAATGCCAAGGGAAGGGCGGCACTTATGTTTTGGGAGCCAGAGGTGAGTACTTGAGGGCATATACAGTGTCGCTGTTGTGTGTCAAATTCTTACGCTGTGTGAAATACGAACAATAATCAGCAGTCAACTGACTACACGTTATAAGGGGCAGACGCAGAGAACACGCCACAGCTCTGGTGTTCGAGATATTGGTTCTTTATGCGGTAGATATGCATGCGTAAGATGGGTGGTCAGCCCGCTGCTAGCAGTTTGACTTTTCTACTACGCACCGGATTGATAAATGATAGGCGCACTCTTCAATAGTTCACTTCATTCAGGAGATTTCAATTGCAATGGGATCTGACCATGGGCGTCGAAAGCGGGGGGGGGGGGGGGGCTCAGCGGTCTCTAAGGGCCCTTACCGGCCTCAGGGCCCTTACCGGCCAGAGCGTCCTAACCAGCCTGAGGGGCCTTACCGGTCCATTAGGGGCCAGCTCTAGGGGCCCCAGGCCACACCCGTCTGTGACGGTCCCACACCAATTTCTTTGAGGGTCCCGTAATGGCGACTGCTAGCCCTCACCGGCGCCTCTGAGGGCCTAAACAGGTCCCGAAGATCCACCACACGGGCACGAGGGGCCCTGTGGCGCCAATTGGCCGTTGAGGGTTTACTGACCATATTTCTGGTCATATTTCGACTCAGAAGTGCCCCACAGGCCACAGGGCTCGTAAGGACATCCCATGGGCCCCTGAGTAGCCCACACTAAGTTCTCCATAAAGGCCCTACGCCAGCTTCTGAGTGTCCCTTGCTGGCTTCTGAGGGCCCTTACCGGCCTATTACGGGCCACCTCTAGTGGCCTCGAACCCGCCTGTGATAGCCCCCACACAAATTTCTGAGGGCCCCATAACGGCGACTCTGAGGGCCCTCACCGGCGCCTATGAGGTCCCAAACCGGCGTATCTGAGGGTCCCCCCCAACTCTGACGGCCTACACCAGTATCTCTAAAGGCCCTGTATCGGCGGTCCTGAGGGCCCCACACCAGTGGCTCTGACGGCCTCACACTGGTGACTCGGAGGGTACCAGCAGCGTATGAGAAACCATGCCGGTGTTTAAGGACCCCACAGGGCTCCTCAAGGCACCACCGACTTCTGAAATCCCCTTGTCGGCTTATGAAGGGTCCACAACAGCAGCTCGCGACTCTGATGACCCTGTGTCTCTGAGCGACTCCACATTGGCGCCTGTGAAGGGCTTCACCGGCGACTGTGCAGGTCCTACACCGGCGCTTCTGAGTGCTCCCACACTGCCACCTCTGAGGGCCCATACCAGTGCTTCTGAGGGCCCCACGCTGGCACTCCTGAGGGCCCCACACCGTGCCTCTTTAGGACCTTTATCAGCGGCTCTGAGGACCCAACAAACATCGGCGCCTCTGAGGGCCCCACACCAGCGCATCTGACGGCCACCCACCGGTGACTTTTGAGTGCCCTACATCGGCGACTCTGAGGGCCCCACCGGCGTCTGAAAGTATTGTGCCGGTCTCTAAGGACCCCACAGAGCTTCTGAAGGTATCGCCGGCCTATGAGAGCCCTTTGCTGGCCTGAGGGCCCCTTGCTGGTCTCTGAGAGCCCCCTGCCGGCTTGTAAGGGGTTCAGACCAGCAGCTCTAGCCTCTATGGGCCCCACATTCGTCTGTGACGGCCCCACACCAGTGTCTCTGAGGGCCCACAACGACGCCTGTCAGGAACCTCACTGGCGTCTCTCAGGGCCTCACACTAGCACTTCTGAGGGTCCACACTGGCACCTCTTTGGCCTCAGTCAGCAATAATACCTCTGAGGACCCCACAATAATGCTACCGAACCGGTCCTACCGAAGGCACCACTTAACCCGTATAGGGGGGGGGGGGGGGTCGAACGGACCCCCCCCCCATGGTTTTTCGCGAATAAATCACGTAAAAAGCGGCGGATCGCAACGAAACTGTCAGTACCTTCGCGTTAATCAATTTTACACCTACCCTGAAAATTTCATGACCCTGACCCTAATGACCTTTGACCTGTGACCTACTTTTCGAGACCATGTTTGGCCGGAATCGCGATTCGGCTGATGTCGGCTCGCATTAGCCGCGCGTTTGCAGTCTTTTCGTGGTTTCAAGCTTTCAAACATGGGATATGATGTTGCTCCCATGCATTACGGTGGGTGTCAAGGTCACCGGAAGGTTAGGTCAGATCATTGACCTTTGATGACATCGGTTCACTTTTTCGAGTTTTACATGTTTCTAGGCTAGTTTTTGGAGCTGAATTCGAATTTAGCAACCATTTGAACATTTACGAAGTAGTTTTGGTGCCTTCGTAACATGTTACGAAGCTGTCAGAGGCGGTTGCCACCTACTACGAATACCCGGCAAAACCCTTACTGGTTGACCTGACCTGACCTGACTCGACCTGGCCTAAATGCATTAAGAGATCATCTATGATCATAACTAACATGATATTCGTAATCAGCACCCTAAAAAAAAAAACATAGTAACCACGTTTTACGACGTTCTAACTGGTCCCGATTTTCCCGACTTTTGGGTCATTGACCTGACCTGGAAGGTCAACCGATGACCTAGGACCTTAAAATTGGGTATCATCGGCTTCCTCTCGTCACGGGCAACACGCTCGTTTTTTCCGCGAAGCTCTAGGTCGATCAGGGGCGAAACGGCAAGGGGGCCAACGAACGCCCCCCCCCCCCCAACGCCAGCCCCCCTTATATTTTCGTGGCTGGAAAAACACCAATACGGGCGAGGGTTAAGTCTTTTATCACCTCGCTTAGCTTCAATCCCATACCGGCCTTCGGAAGGCACCTCGCCAGTGCACTCACTGCCCCACACGGGCAACTGTAAAGGCTTCACACTGACCTCTCTCGAGTCTCACACCGGTGCCTTCCTCTGAGGGTCCCATACCGGCTCATTGCCCACGGCTCGGCCACTCACCGGTGATGCTGAGAGTCCTCACCGGTGACTCTGAGGGCCCTACACTGAAGACTCTGGAAGCCCCCACCAGCTTCTAAGAGCACCACGCGACGCCGGCCTCGGAGGGTATCACGCCAAAACCTCAACGGATCACACACCCGCCTGTGAGAGCACCACGCCGACGCCTCTGAGAACCTCAAAGGGCTTGACCAGTGCATCTCTGAGGGCGTAACACTGGCATTTTAAGGCACCACGCTGGTCTTTGGGTGCCCAACGCACAGGCCTTCTGAAAGCAGTACGCAACTTTTAAGCAGCCACGCTTAACTCTCAGAGCCCCACACCGGCCTCTGATGGCCCCTAAGCTTTCGAGCCTGCCTAAAGAGGACCCATTCCAGGCGTGAGCCTGCAGGACGGGATCCAGCCAAAGACCTCACCCACTCAAGGGCCCCACAGTAGACCGAGGACTCTTTCAAGTGCTCAGCTTTACTCTTGAGTCTTGCTGCGCGCTCAGGGTACTACTCGTTGGCTCGGAATGTTTACATCAAGCAATCACACAGGGCCATTTCGCGACTTCGATGGTTGTTTGCGATCAGAGCGTCTCACCTGACGCTCTCATGGGCTGAATTCGCATAGGCGAATCCCTTAGACTTATCGAGCCCAAAATGTAACACTTTGTGTTGGGCAGCATACAGAGCCCGCCAAAACGTGCGCACGTCCTTCATTTGCGCACGTTAAGAGTAGCAACCAAACTGTGATACCTTGCCATGGAATTATGAATCCCCCGGTCCGCACGATGTTCATTGTTCACCTATCGGAGACGTTTCAGCACAATTCGCCAAGTCAATGCGTAGTTATTATATGTAAACAGCAGCAATTTAAGCACCCCTGACTGAGCTATCGCAAATATTCGCCAGGGTTAGGGGCGAAAAACGCCCCCCCCCCGGGCCAGCGAGGGCTAGCATTCCGGGGAGAGCTGGCACAGCGCCTGACGAGAGCAGCATAGACGGCGATGGAGCGTTATAGAGAGGGGCGAATCATTAAACGTTTTGACGCATTCTGGGAAGGGGAGGCGCGTAAGGGCAGAAAGGCGTCTGGGGAGGGGCGGCGCGTAGCGGCGGCAAGGTGCCTTGGGAGGCCGACTGCGATAGAGCATTGTGGGGAGTGGCGGCTTGTTGAGGGCGGCGAGGTGCTGTGGCGAGGGGCGGCACATACTCTGCGCGATACTCTGGCGCCAAGATTCTCTGGGCGCCAAGATACTCTGGGGAGGGCGGCAAGGCGTTTATGGAGGGCGGCACAGACGGTGGTAAAGCGTTGTGGGGAGGGGCGGCGGGGTTTGTGGTGAGGGGCGGCACATAGAGGGCGCCAAGGCACTTCGGGGGGGGTGGGGGCACAAATGGCGATAGAGCATTGGGGGAGGGGGGGCGGCTTATTGAGGGCGGCGGGAAGTTGTGGCGAGGGCAGCACATAGAGAGCGCCGAGGTACTCTGGGGAGGGCGGCACAGACGGCGATGAGCTATATGCGGAGGGGCGGCACATTGAGTGCGGCGGGGTTCTGTGAGGGGCGGCACATAGAGAGCTCCGAGGAACTTGAGGGGAAGTCGGTGTGGAGGGGCGGAAGGACATCTGGGAGGGGCGGCATTTAGAGGGCACCTAGTTATTTTAGTGAGGAGCGGCACGTTGAGGTCAGGCGTATGGTGGACCGAGCAGTGCCATTTTTTTTCTTGGTTTTGAAGTCCGCGAGTCCCGCAATTGCAGACTTCCTCTACCGGGGGCGGCATTTCAGCATCCCAAAAATGGGCTGGAATTTCCAGCGTTCCAGCGCGGTGGTTACGCCCATGGGTATCTGTAATGATGAACTTTGATTCAATGTAGCATTTTATTCAACTTCACAAGATTTAACTACTTTTTGCCCCACGGCACCGTCCCTGGAAAAGCTCCACCCAAGGTATGCGATTTCATCTACGATGCTAATATGATGACCTCACGTGACCTTAGTGACCTTGAAAAGTCAGTTTAGTACCTACATAGCTGCGTCTATTTGCGTCGATCCTATGACTCAGCAACCACCGGGACTATCGAGACAATAATGCCATATGCGATTGTATTGCCCGTTTCTACTTTCTGAATTCTGATATGGCGACCTCAGGTGACATTGGTGACCTTTAAAGCTCAAAAGAACGTCTTGAATAAGTTTTTGCCATCTAACCGCTTAGCAACTAGAGGGGCCGAATTCATTCCCTCTCGCTCCCAGTCCCACCCGGCTCCTTAGTGCTTACTGACATAGGGCTTGCGAAAAAGCGTAGATACCTTTTGACATTGTGCTTCTCGAGAGAACTCCGAAGCCAATGGTACCCATCAGCTACCTATTTGGTGTCAGGTCAACCGGTGAGTCAGGTCAATGAATCGAAATTTACTTTTAAAAACTTCCGAAAAGACATCGCATGACAAGGATGAAATCAGGGAACGTAAAACGGGGCACTAAAGGACAAAATTATCAACAAGTTCACCTTGTTTAACCAGGACGTCATATGTAGTTGGGATCTAGTAAAGAGGAAGCAGCCTACGAATATATTCAAGAAGCAATTACACAGCATTACAATAATAAGCGGACCGGTTGCATCTATAGATGATGATAGGTATATCAGGGAATTCTTTGACACTTCAAAAAAACTTATAACAAGAAAAGTAGCACAGCTTTCTTGTTATACGTTTTTTAAGCGCTGAAGAAGTATTTGATAGACGAAACCGGTCCGCTTATTTATAGGATGTAATTGCTTCTTGAATATATTCGTAGGCTATACATTCGTAGGCTATATGTAGGCATTCGTAGGCTATATGTACTTGGTCTACACGACTCTTTAGTGCCCTGGTATACCTATACTACACAGGACTGCATGCCTGTCCAATGTATCTACATTCGAGGATCTACTGAGTGAGTACTGCACACGAATTCGGGATTCGTTTTGGTGGATGGTTGTCAGGTAAAAATTAAAATGACCGAGTTGAATTCGTTAAACACCTACCTTTATTTATACTAGCCTTTGCATCTATGCAGTCGCCTACCACGCAGGACTGATAGGGCACAACTTTGATCATAGGACAATCATACGGCTTCTATAATACCCATAAATTAACCCTCGCCCGTATTGGTGTTTTTCCAGCCGCGAACGTATAAGGGGGGGGGGGGTCCGTTGGACCCCCCTCTTGCCGTTTCGCCCCTGATTGAGCTAGAGCTTCGCGGAAAAAACGAGCGTGCTGCCCGTGACGAGAGGAAGCCGATGATACCTAATTTTAAGGTCCTAGGTCATTGGTGGACCTTGCAGGTCAGGTCAATGACCCAAAAGTCGGGAAAATCGGGACCTGTTAGAACGTCGTAAAGTGTGGCTGCTATGGGGTTTTCGGGGCGCTGATCACGAATATCATGTTAGTTTTGATCACAGATGATGTCTTTATGCATTTAGTCCAGTTCGGGTCAGGTCAGGTCAGGTCAACCAGTAGGGGTCCTGCCGGGTATTCCTAGTGGTGTCAACCGCCTCTGACAGCTTCGTAACATGTTACGAAGGTACCAAAACTACTTTGTAAACGTTCATATGGTTGCTAAATTCGAATTCAGCTCCAAAAACTGGCCTAGAAACATGTAAAACTCGAAAAAGTGAACCGAGGTCACCAAAGGTCAATGACCTGACCTGACCTTCAGGTGACCTTGACACCCACCCTAATGCATGGGGGCAACATCATATCACATGTTTGAACGCTTGAAACCACGAAAAGCTTGCAAACGCGCGGCTAATGCGAGCCGACATACGCCGAATCGCGATTCCGGCCAAACATGGTCTCTAAAAGTAGGTCACAGGTCAAAGGTCATTGGGGTCAGGGTCATGAAATTTTCAGGGTAGGTGTAAAATTGATTAACGCGAGGGTACTGAAAGTTTCGTCGCGATCAGCCGCTTTTTACGCGAGTTATTCGCGAAAAACCATGGGGGGGGGGTCCGTTCGACCACCCCCGCCCCTATACGGGCGAGGGTTAAAACCATTCACCAATTATAGGTATCTAACAACCGCATGGCGAGACAAAAAAATTAAAGTTTTTAATTGCGTCAATGCCCACGTTCTTGTTAGTACATCGGCAATCTATGCACGAACCAAATTCCGCAGCGCTACATCTCACTTCCACCACCGACTTTGTCCATGCATCGGTCTGTCATGCGCGTGGACACTCCCCCCCCCCCCTTCCACGGTGTGTCGTCGTACGATATCGGCAGTAGTTGACCGGTCGGCGCTGGCGGCGGTCAGAGGTGACCGGGTCAGTGTGTTAGTCAGTGGTCGGTCGCGATGGCCGGAATGAGTGGTGGAGCGCCGCACAGGGCTGATCGAATCCTCGGCTGTGGCGTGCTCCTCTCCGGATGTGTCCTACTCGGAATCGGTAGGTGGATTCTAGGGTCGTCGGGTCAGGTCAGGTCAGTGGCTCCGAATAGATGAGCAAGTAAATGCGCATCAGGAACGGATTTTCCTATTCGCCCAGCACTGTGATTACTGATTCGTTTGTAATAAGCATTTACTCCGCTGATGTATCTCGGTCAATATAAAATGCCGAAACTCAGAAGCTTATATATTGGTCACCATGGTAGGCTGCTCTCAATCAATTAGTTGCCGGTTTCTATACGGGCATTCCCTAGCATTTAGACCTAATTCAACAGTGTTTTACAGGCCCAACCTTGTTTAGGGCTCACTTCATTTATCACTCGTAATGCTTACCTACACCGTTTAAATTTAAGGTCCAATATAAGTGTAAACATAAATAAGCATGTTAATTACTACGCTCGGATTGTTAAACAATTCGAATCGTTGCGAGGCATTTACCCAAGCAGAATAGGTATCGTCTGTTATTATTGCTAACTTTTATATGTAGATGTAAGATGAGTGACTAATATGTTCAACTGCATTTCGCCTGTCAAATTTGGATGTAATTCCAATTATCTTCACATTTACTGTAGAATTCAAGCATAAATAGAACTAATGTTCTACGTGCTTTATGAGCTTTACAGCCTATTTGATACACAGGCCTTCACTATCGCTTTAAAAAATTTATCTTTCTCTTCGTAGGGCTAATCTTGGGACTGGAGTTTCCGCGATATGTCATCGACCAGAAGATGAAAACTTCCTGCGTGACAGGAGCCGACACACAACACTACAGGGACTGGGTAATACGGTCTTCGAGTTCCAACAGCATGGCCACTGGTCATCCTATTCCTCAGTCAAAATTTCTTAATTTGTCTCATAGAGCCAGTTAACTATGGCTATGCGTCTGTCGAATCATGCAATATCCATGCTCATTAGAGAGATCCATTATAATTATGATATCCTCAGAAACTTCGACATTTATGACAGATTTGAGGATCAAAGTTTTGCGCTCTGTCAGTTTTAGAATGAAATCGAATATAATTAGACTACAGCTTGGCAGGGCTATCACTTTAGATGTTATGTTGTGTCACTGTTTCCACGAAAACATGCTGCTAAAATCGCCCATAGTCCAATGCGTCGCATTGCAGTCAATAGTGCTAAGATCGGCACACCGTCACGCGAGCTATTTAGCATTTACGTCACGTGGTGCACGCAATGCCCGTCTGTTGCAGCTCTCCAGTTATAACTCGACAGGCGTGTCCCTCCTGACCATTTGGCCTGCCAACGCGAAATCAGGCTTAGGAAGGACCCCACCTGGGAATCGCAAGGTAGGTTGATGCGCAACTATCATTAATATCTTTAATAAACTCGCTCGCCCGCACCGATCGTTCCCTTGTTAAGTCGTTAATTATGTGTGCTGGTCATTGTACTACAAAGGTTGAACGGGTTTGATGGACGATGCAGCTTTGACAGAATGTCAATACCGCACCTTTTATCATGAACATCGCATCTATACCTGCAACTTTAATGGATCACTGTTGGTAATATATGAATAAATATATATAGTATATTATATATATATATATATATATATATATATATATATATATATATATATATATATATATATATATATATATATATATAATACATGGACAGCTCAACCTACACCGTAATGTCAGGGAATAACCTGAATAAATGGTTCATTATTCAACGTCTGGGCGGTGGCCCGGCCGTAACAAGAGCCGGATTAGGTGTTGTTCGATCTCCCCTTCCAGCTTGACTTCTGGGCCATGCGGTATTCGAAAGGTCGTCAAAGACTCAAAATTATGAAATTTTACTTCAGTTCTTCTTTGGCAATGTTCGAAAGGGTGCCATTTCTAAAACAAATAGCTAAGCCATTTTTTAGGTCAGCCCAATTTTTGTCCATTTTTGGCTCGTAGCCGTTTTCTTCAGTTTGACCTTAAATCAATTCCTTAGAAGGCAAACACCTCCAAAAATGGACGATTTGTCAATTTTTTTCTGTGTAATTTTTTTTTTACCAAAGGCGTTTCCGATATTGACATTACCACCATCGTCTTTCTAGCGTTAAGATAAATACTCTGTACTCTCAGAATGAAATCCTGATACAATTTGACCTAATAAGGTCAGATTGAATACCTGACCGGAAAATTTGACTGAATGAACATTTGACTGAATGAACATAAATAGCTGAACGCAAGGTAGCCTGGCAGAAAATAATAATGTTACATGTCGGTCTGTGCTCATAATCTTATACAACATACACTTATATGTTGGGAAGATTCGTGTATTTCCTAGGCATTCTATAGAATGCCTGAAAATCAGGCATTCTTTAGAATGCCTAGGGATTCTATAGAATCCCTGGTGGGTCAGGCATTCTATAGAATACCTAGGGATTCTATAGAATGCCTGGTCGGTCAGGCATTCTATAGAATGCCTGATTCCACACATTGCCTGTAACACACACACACACATATATATATATATATATATATATATATATATATATATATATATATATATATATATATATATATATATATATATATATATATATACCCTCATAATCATAATCATAAATGCACAATATGCTGTCTTGTTTAATGAATTTTGCTTATCAAACAATCTGCTCCCTACATTTACATATATAGGTATATATATATATATATATATATATATATATATATATATATATATATATATATATATATATATATATATATATATATATATATATATATATATATATATATATATATATATATATATATATATATATATATATATATATATATTGTATATTGAGAGTCGTTACACGAAGTGCTTATGACGACATAAAATGTGACCTTTGGTGTATTTTTCACCTTCATTTATAACATCAGAACAAAACCATCGTCATTCGCAATCACTTTCGATTCAAGCCTACGGTCCACCCTCCCAGCCAACACTCTTCTAATGCAGCTTCGTATCTGTAGCAGCATAATCCTCCGAGGGTAACCGTTTAAGCGACTGGTTGGCCTGTGACTCTCCCGCGTGCCTTGCGCCGTGGCTCTCCCGTGCCAACGGAATTGGATCAGCTGCTGCTTGCGGCGCACCATTTGGTGGTCGGCATAGCCCAATACCTCCCTCGCTTCCTCTCAGCTCATTGCCCTGAAATGGTGTGAGGTGACGACCGGCCTAGGCCAACAATGAAAATTAGGTAAACAAATAGCATTACTGCCACTGACCCCTAATTTTCGAAGTGTGTTTCGGACAATCAAAATACTTAGGCATTCTATAGAATGCCTGGGAGCTTAAGCCAGGCATTCTATAGAATGCCTAAGCAGTCAGGGATTCTATAGAATACCTAGGGATTCTATAGAATGCCTGGTCGGTCAGGCATTCTATAGAATGCCTAGGCATTCTATAGAATGCCTGATTCCACACATTGCCTGTAACATATATATATGTTACAGGCAAAGTGAAAACTCGGGCATTTTGCAAAATGCCTAGGCAATTTGCAAAATGCCTGATCGGCCAGGCATTTTGCAAAATGCCCAGGCAGTTTGCAAACTGCCTGACCCACCAGGCATTTTGCAAACTGCTTGAAATATTTTCCCAGGCATTTTGCAAAATGCCTGACATCAAACTCGCACTAGCGACGATGTATATAGGTAAGCATCATTTGTAACTGCCGCTTACAAAAGTTAATCGCTGTCAATGCGCACCAAGTGAGGGGACACTGCGTTCTCCGGGTAGCGCCGCCGAGTTCAGGTCACTGAGCCCCAGCGGCCGTCGGGTGCCGAGCACCGGGCGTGGTTTCGTGGGTAAACATGCGCTCGGTACAATGATTGTACTGTTTCTAAGAGCTCTTGGTGGCTTTTTGGAAATACTATGGGTGGATATTGATCAGAAAAGAATGCTCTTCCAATTTACGAAAATTTGATTATTACACGTTTAGGTACATTATCAATCGTCTCTGCCGGAACAGCTGCCCACCAGGGCAGAATACTGGACATCGCAGCTTTTATACACACGGCTACAACTCCGCATATACGAAAGGTACGGAGACGGTCGCTCAAGTCCATTCAGCGTTGGCTCCATCTCGACAGAATTGACGCAAAACGTATAGGTATACAGAGTGTCACGAACTTGATACGCGGTTGGCGCGGTCTTGTCCCTACATGTCCCTCCTGAGTGCTGAATGGATGTAATTTTAACGGGTCCGGCACCAGGGCATCTGGTCCAGGGCACTCGGCATCTAAATCGGCCATCCCCCGGTATCTGAAGATTTTACCCTGAAGCTGAAGCCGCTCAACCTCAGGCTGCAACCCTGACTTACCGTCATCCATAAGTGATGCAGCTGGATTTCGACAAAACCCACCAAATCTGGACCATTCAGGACTAGATATTCAGACTTTTCAATGATGAGGCCGTGAGGTGATATTAGCCGTTTTCACGACGGCCATCTGGTACATATTTGGTTCACATCTGGTGTAGATTAGGTGCATATTTGGTCAAATTAGGTTCAGTGTGTCTCTTAGTGGCTATCAGCTAGGGTTGTACTAATTGCTTATATGCCTCCTTTGTCATATTATCAGAGAGCATCATCGGTTAAAACACTGAAACAAATTCATAAAATAATGATATTTGCTGTATTAAGAGAGATTAGGTGCATATTTGGTCAAATTAGGTGCACTCACCGGACAGCCCGTCGTGAAAACGGCTATTAGAGCTCTTCTTAGTCACTAACCGTCCCGACAAGCAGTTCTGGGCCAACAGCAGCTCAGAGGCGCTGCGCCGTCGAGACGGTGAAGCACCCACTGGGCACTGGGGATTCTCGTTTGGGGCATGATGGGCTACAGAGGCCTATTTGAGATTCACCAGGTGCCGCGGGGACAGACCATGTGGCCGCTGATAACTTGTCAGCGAGGTGCTGGAGAACACTGACGCAACTACGATGCAATACATTTCGGGACACCAGTACAACATCCCGCAACAATTTCGTGACACCCGTATTCGTGACCGTGGAATGTGTCAATGTGAACACAACACATGTGAAATGTGTTGTGGGGTCAGTCACAGTGGAACGTTTATGATCAACGGCTGTAGTCAACAAAAACGGTGGAATACGAGGAAATGGAAACCCAGGCATTTTGCAAAATGCCTGACCCGCCAGGCATTTTGTAAAATGCCTAGGCAGTTTGCAAAATGCCTGGTGGGTCAGGCAGTTTGCAAACTGCCTGGGCATTTTGCAAAATGCCTGGCGGGTCAGGCATTTTGCAAATTGCCTAGGCATTTTGCAAAATGCCCGAGTTTTCACTTTGCCTGTAACATATACATATGTCATTAAACACGACAGCATGTTTGGTGTTATTCAGCTTTTTTAACACCAAACATGCTGTCGTGTTTAACCCGCGCCCCACTGGGGTCTGCGTATAACACGCCCTACTGGGGGGGGGGGGGTGGCTATTCATAGCCCCCCCCCCCCTCCTAACTCGGAAACTACTAGGCCGATTGTCAAAATTCAAACGGCGTCTGATAGCCCCGGAAAACTGTCGAACGAAACCTAATTTCATTGACCTCGAGGTCACCGATGACGTCACAGGTCAGGTCAAAGTAAAAATTATTAGCATTTTGGCTTCTTCACGTTTTGGGCTCTGGCCGCCGTCTTACAAGTCAGATCAGGCTCATTTTTGGTTCACACACTCGTGAACAGATGCTCTAGATACTCTGAGGGTACCAAACTTGTACTTTGATTTTCAGGTCAAGGTCAGGTCATCACAGGTCACGAAAATATTATATCATCCATCGGTCACGTGACACATGTTTTATGGTCCATTTAGGCCAAACATTTCGAATTTGATGTCGTCTGTGTCATTCGAGGTCATTTTGAGTCAAATTTAGCTTAGGTCAGGTCACTTTCAGGTCAAAAAAGGTCAAATTTTGAAGTTAAAATTTTTCCACAAAAAGGTGTCTATTGGATGCAGTTTGAGCTCAGGAACACGATGGTGCTATTTATATTGGCGTACGATGTCAAATTCGTGCTGAGAAATTGATTTGAAAAATTAATAATTGTTAATTTTTGCAATAATGCGTATAACTTGGCCAGTTTTAAAGATATTTAGCTAAAACTTGCTAGAGTTAGTCATAATAATGCGTTCTATCACATATATTCCGGTTTTTTCGAAAAATCAAAAGAAATTCGAAAAAATGTAAAAATGTTAATTTTGAATTTTATTATATAAAATTTTCGAACTTTTCAAAATTTCGAAAATCCGAGATAGCAGTTTGATAGCGCTGTCTATTCTGAGTCCTCTCATGCAAAGAAATTGGATCTAGCTTAAAGACTGAGCTCTTGGGAGCGATTGCCGTGGTTCAATGTTTTGCGTCGAAATCGGCCGAACATGACGTCACTCTGACGTCATTTGCGGCCGACCTATGGTAGGTACGAAGTTCAAATTTTGACACAAGATGTCAAATTGATGGAGCCGATGGTACTGAAAGTTGGCGTCGATACGTCAAGCGGTTTGGAAGTTATTGCAGAAAAACGGGAGGGGGGGCTATAAATAGCCCCCCCCCCCCAGTGGGGCGCGGGTTAATGACATATGTATCAGAGAGAACCTGCTTCCCAAATATTATAAAATATTTATAGTAAATATATGGCATTTTCATCGTTTACTTATAAGCATCATGCTTGCACTAATTGTTTCCACCGTTCAAGTTCAAGGGATGTGGGTAAAAAAAATCGATCAGCTGATACGTTGCCGGCATGTTTAGCGCCGGTCCCTAGAGTTAATCGGCACTGAATAAGTTCTACCAGTCTTCATAACGGCAAGGTTAATAGCAAGAAAATGCTAGCAATTCCAAAGCTGATGAGTTCATAATGGACCGTCTACAATCATTACGAAATTATATGCTGGTGACAAATTAATGACGTTGCTGGCATACAAGTAACCAACTGCGTTTGTTTTCCCGTCGTCTCTTGAATACGAGGTAGGTATTTGAAAGCAAATCGGTAACAATGTAAATAAGACCAACTGAAATGGAGAGGCGCCATTTCAGACATATACGATTAAACGTAATGGAATGGCACGAATAGGAGCAGGGCTAGGGACACTTTTTTAAAGTCTATTTAAAGTTTATGTTCTTATTTACATTGGTATTGTATTGTCATTCTCAGTGAGAAAAATAACATTGGTAGCGGTGTATTCTTTCTGTAGGCATAGAAATAGGTGTGACCAATAAAATATGTTGTTGGTACTTTTGTTATCAAAAAACTTTTTTTTCAAATTTCATCCGTTTCTAATAGGCTAGCCTGATGCCTATGATTCCATAGCAATACCCCTCTTCATCTAGCGCATTGCCTCCTATTTCTAGGCTTTCATTGTTTTTGGTAATTTTCTTTGCGGTCCTCCGAAAAACAATACAAGGGTTGTTACACTGAATAGTGTATATTAAACTTATTAATCCGTATTTCGTCAACCCACATTCAAATATAAACCGCCGGTCGTCCAGCCTAAACAATTAGTGCCGATCTGCCTTTCATCGAATACGAGTAAATGTCTCAGCCACATCATGTATGTTACTTCCGACAGAGGTTTGGCCCGTACGTGTTCACCAGTGACGAGAGGAAAGTGGATCTGTCTGGCCACGATGGGCTGCTCTTGTTCAGAGTGTACTCACAATATCGGTTTGACGAGGACGGGACACGACGCCAATGTGCTACCTGCCATGACCACGACGAGGTGAGAAAAGGATTGAAGGTGGGCAGAGGAAGCTTGAAGAGAGAAAGAGAGAGAGAGAGAGAGAGAGAGAGAGAGAGAGAGAGAGAGAGAGAGAGAGAGAGAGAGAGAGAGAGAGAGAGAGAGAGAGAGAGAGAGAGAGAGAGAGAGAGAGAGAGAGAGAGAGAGAGAGAGAGAGAGAGAGAGAGAGAGAGAGTGAGGCTCTGAGAGAGTGAGTGTAACGAGAGAGAGAGAGAGTGAATGTAGGAGCGTGAAAAAGAGGGGGAAAGAGCATTAAGGAAAGGATGACGTTAGAGATAAAGTTATATATTCTGTTATGTATTTGTTGCTGCGATTACTATCTTTCTAAAATGATATAAAAACGCAATTCTCTAGCCTTCAGCACAAGACTCCGTGTTAAAATCTCCCCACCTCCTCCCTCGGGTCAGGTCACGGTGGTCAGCACGGTACGTCAGCAGCTGCTGGCTCCGTTCGCCGGCTCCAAGGCGGTCTACCTACGACGGCACATAGCTGCCATGGCACGCGCGCTGCTACACTCACGGTCAACTCGACAGGTTCCTCGTCCTGCCGTCCCACCGGCGCGAGGAGCCCCAACCGACCGACCGACGTCCGTGAGTCTGCTGACCTGCAGACTGGTGGCGTTGGACTCCAAACTGCTGCGGCTGGCGCCTCCCGAGCTACTGGTACCAGCACTGCGGCTGCTGGAGGAGCCAGCGGGAGTGGTGCGCGCCCCGCTCACTGACAGAGTGTGTGATGAGGTGTGGAAGAGAGTGCTGAGAGAGGCGGTTGTGACGGAGGAGTGGTGTAAGGAGTACAGGACGGGGGAGGCCGCACACTGTGATGTGTGGTTCTTCGTGGAGCGTCACAGCCGGCTGAATGAGACGCAGAGAGGGAGGGTGGCGAATGTCACCGTTCAGCTGCTCTGCTGCCACTCCAACTACTCTCAGGTGCGAACGTTTGATGATAATTTGTTCGTATGTCTTTAACCCGCGCCCAGCTGGGGGTCCTGGATTTCCACGCCCTGCTGGGGGGGGGGGGTGTTTGAACACCCCCCCCCCCTTGTAACTCGGCTCCTGGCCACGTAGCGTTACGCAGAAGGCGGCGTTCGAAAGAGCGTCAAAAATAATGACGAAATCACTTCGGTCAATTTTTTGGTCAGGTCAAAGGTCAGGTCACCAGAGGTCATTGAAGGCAAAATTTCGCCGAGTTCCAGGTCGAATGTCGAAAATTTCCAAGAAGCCAACGCATAACTCGAGAACCAATAGCGCTACAGCGCCGCGGAAAAGCGCATTCGATAGCCCTATTAACGCCCTTTCTGAGTAATTTTCTCAGATTTGACCTAACGTCAACGGTTTTGCCTGCAGGGGGCAAAAACTGGAAAAATAGCCGATTTTTTCGGAAACAGTTTTTCTGCAATAACTTTTGACCCAAGCCTTGTACGAGCTTCTTTTTACCGGCATTGTGTTCCTCTCGTCAAGACTCATCGAATGAACTGTAACTTGACCTTGAAAGCTCAACTTGAAAATTTGACCTCAGGTCAAGGTCATGACCTGACCGGAAAGGGTCATGTTGCATATCAGTCGATCCGTATCGTCGAGCTGAACACATCTAAGGCGTTTTCATCGCTTTAGCATGCCTCTATCAAAACTTATTTGCGAAAAACTGTTAGATACCATTCGTGACCTAAGATGACCTCAGGGCATAAACAAGGGTCACGGACACCATTTTCATGTTCAGTGTGTCTAAACCACTTGTAATTCGGTGTTTGGGAGTGTTTATAATGTCTTTTGTCCAAAAGAGGCGCATTTCAATTTTATCCCATTGACTTATAATGTGGAGGTCGCAAAATTGACCTGACCTTAGATCATCGATATCAAAATTCTGAGATATACATTTTGTACATGCTATTGCTCTTAGCAATCTCTGAAAGTTTCAAAGCGATCGGTCACTCGGTGTAGCTATGACAGACATTGAAACTTTTTATGAGGTGAGGCCATTTCAAGTGACCTGGTGACCTGACCTTGAATGACCTTGGTCTGAAATTTTCACAACATGTGTAGAATTGATGTATGATAAATTGTACCAAAAACGGCGGCGCTTCGCGGCGCCGTTTTTTAGATACCTATTCGCGAAAAACCACAAGGGGGGGTGTTCAAACACCCCCCCCCCCCAGCAGGGCGCGGGTTAATAACGGTATATTTGTGTGAATCCCTTGTTCCATGCCACTGGCATGAAAGCACTGACATCAATGTAAAAAGACCGAATGTACCCAGCGATTATTCACGAACAATGATATTAGAACCCTAAAATGAAGCTGAATAATGCACTTATCGGTTGGCCGGAGGGGAATTCGGCGCTATTTTGATCCCGACTACCGGTTTCAGGTGGGCAGGAGTTCACCATCAGCTCTGCTCAGTCTAGTTCTTCAACTAGCGCCGCGGCTTCAGCAGGCGGTGGCTGACGTCTCCAGTCTGAACCTGCTAACAAACACCCTGCGCGGCCCCGTCAGTCAGGTAGGCGGCTCTATTAGTCCCGTATCTTGCACTCCGCCTAGGTTTCGTCGCTGAGGTGAGCCCGCCTCGATACGGCTTGCTATTATAGAAACCGTACAAATGAATAAATGATTGATGTCGGGGTAATAAAGGAATTGAATAAACAATGCAACTGTTATAGCTATTTGCTTTTTTGTTTTGCTTCATAAATAGGTGATTATACTTCAACGCATAGCTCGATGAAAGTTGAAATCGAAGAAAAAGATAAACAAATTATCAGCTCACCATTCCTATGCACATAATAAATTAACCCGCGCCCTGCTGGGGGTCCTGGATTTCCACGCCCTGCTGGGGGGGGGGGGGGTGTTTGAACACCCCCCCCCCTTCTAACTCGGCTCCTGGGCCACGTAGCGATACGCGGAAGGCGGCGTTCGAAAGAGCGTCAAAAATAATGAGGAAATCACTTCGGTCAATTTTTTGGTCAGGTCAAAGGTCAGGTCACCAGAGGTCATTGAAGGCAAAATTTCGCCGATTTCCAGGTCGAATGTCGACAATTTCCAAGAAGCCAACGCATAACTCGGGAACCAATAGAGCTACAGCGCCGCGGAAAAGCGCATTCGATAGCCCTATTAACGCCCTTTCTGAGTAATTCTCTCAGATTTGACCTAACGTCAACGGTTTTGCCTGCAGGGGGCAAAAATTGCAAAAATAGCCGATTTTTTCGGAAACAGTTTTTCTGCAATAACTTTTGACCCAAGCCATGTACGAGCTTACTTTTACCGGCATCGTGTTCCTCTCGTCAAGACGCATCGAATGAACTATAACTTGACCTTGAAAGGTCAACTTGAAAATTTGACCTCAGGTCAAGGTCATGACCTGACCGGAAAGGGTCATGTTGCATATCAGTCGATCCGTATCGTCGAGCTGAACACATCTAAGGCGTTTTCATCGCTCTAGCATGCCTCTATCAAAAGTTATTTGCGAAAAACTGTTAGATACCATCCGTGACCTAAGATGACCTCAGGGCATAAACAGGGGTCACGGACACCATTTTCATGTTCAGTGTGTCTAAACCACTTGTAATGTAGTGTTTGAGAGTATTTATAATGTCTTTCGTCCAAAGGAGGCGCATTTCAATTTTCTCCCATTGACTTATAATGGGGAGGTCGCAAAATTGACCTGACCTTAGGTCATCGATATCAAAATTCTGAGATTAACATTTTGTACATGCTATTGCTCTTAGCAATCGCTGAAAGTTTCAAAGCGATCGGTCACTCGGTGTAGCTATGACAGACATTGAAACTTTTTATGAGGTGAGGTCACTTCAAGTGACCTGGTGACCTGACCTTGAATGACCTTGGTCTGAAATTTGCACAACATGTGTAGAATTGATGTATGATAAGGTGTACCAAAAACGGCGGCGCTCCGCGCCGCCGTTTTTGAGATATTCGCGAAAAACCACAAGGGGGGGTGTTCAAACACCCCCCCCCCCAGCAGGGCGCGGGTTAATGCATTTAGGTATAAATGCATACAGATACGCTATGTCTCGGTCGAAATGTCTTCTGCCTTGTGTATGATGCAAAGTTGTCGGCAGATGCATAGTGGATGAATTATCACATAGTAAATCGTATAAAAAATCTGCGCGTGTCCCCAACAGATGGCGCTGGGTTTCCGCCTGCGCACGGCCCTGTTCACCAACAACAGCGTCAGTTGCTGGGACCTGCCCGAGAGGACAGTGCTGGAGGACGGCTGGATATCCGGGGCACTACGGCACCACGAGTCCGAACAACACAGTCGGAGACACGCCTCGCTGCGCAGCCTGTCCACCTGTCTCTACAACAGGTCCAAGGAGAGCAACCTGCTCTGGCACGGTAAGGCAGGGCCGCGGGGGTGTGGGCACCGTTCCGTCGCTTCCTTCCTCAGGATACTGAAATCCTTCTCCCCCACGCCGCAACCCCGACTCCGGGCTGGACAGGCACCTTTATCTCATGCGGGCTGCTCCCTTGGAGCGGCACCGCTGCTCCCAGGGAAGCAATACCCGTAGCCGGGTGCAGAGAGTAGTTTTTTTTTGGGGGGGGGGGGGCTGGTCGGCCTGTCCATTCGGACGGGCTCAGCCCCGGCGACTCTCTAGGGTTCCTGTCCAGACTAATGTCTCCCCCTAATTCCAATCATCCTTCCGGATCCTTCGATACCTGTGTAACTAGATTTCCCTTGTAATCATTTTCCAGATATGTGTGTGAGCTGCGTTGTTAGGTAAGCCTTAGCAGTAAACCCCGTACACCTAATATCCCAGATAATATAATAGCATCGATACAGGCATTACGTCGCAATGCATACTCATATCTAGCATACCTGCATTCCTCCTGCCACATCACATGCGCTTTCGTCCTCTCCCCTCCGCTCGGGGGAGGGGGAGCATTATCCTCTGTCGGATCTCCCCGGTCTCCATCGGAGAGAGACCACAGGCTCGGTGCACTGATCGATGTGCAGCCCCGATCATTGATCCCCTGAGGTCGACTGCGGCTCTCCAGCCGACGTCATTAATGTCGCCGAGACAACGTTCGTGCCGCGTGGAACGGAACGTCCCCGCCGCCGTGGCCGCACGCTCCTCTGAACACCGATAATTAGCGCCGCAAAATGGTGTCGGTGGCGGTGACACGGCAGCTGGGGAGGACGGGGGAGCTGCGCCGGGTGATCGGGCGGACTGTAGAGAGGATACGACAGATCAGATGGATGGTGGAGGACGTGGGAGGCCCGGAAGATAGCTTGTCGGGCAAGGAGATGAGCGCACGGCTCGGGGCGGATAGGATGGGCGGGCAGAAGTTCGAATGGAAACGGCAGATTATTGAACGATACGACTCTCGCGGGAGACTGGAGAGCAATTCATGAAACATCGCGACAGGACACGGGTGGAGAATTGTGCTGGACTGGGGGTGCTCGAGCTCTCCCAATTCCACGCCGGCCACGCCGGCTTGGCTTTGGAGCCGCGGCCGGGCGGCGCGGGTCAAGGTCACCGCTAGGCGGCGGCGGATTTGCTGCGCCCGAGCACCCCCAGCTGGTCACAATTCTGTATTGAGAGATGACGTGCGCAGAGCTCAAAATTCATACGACTAGATTGGATAGTCTCTTGTTATGATCTCTCGGACCCTGACTGTAGTTCCCTTGTTCTCAGAGAGCTCCCTTGACCTCTCCTGCTTTTCTGTTTAGATCGATAAGCTCAGCGGTCACCTCCCTCGACGCATTCCTCTCCTCCCTCAGACCGGGTGACGGTGACGGGCCGGAGACTGCCTCGGCACACAGCCGGCTTCAGCAGCTCTCTTCCTCCGGCCACTCACGTGACGGCCTGTGGTCGGAGCGCCACGACCGCCGCCGCTGCGGCTATCTACGAGCCGCGTGTGTGGCGTCCCCTGCAGTACGTCCGCTCCGGCCGCAGCGCCTCGCTGGGGCAGGTGGCTCTGATGGAGCTCACAGCGCCAGGTGAGCTCCTATCGCCGTTACTACCTACAGTTACGGCTCGAGAGTGAGGCCGGTTGAAAAGCCTCGGCGATTTGCATATCTCGCAGGATCAATCTGTTGCTCTATAGGGTACTGTCCCTGTGACAAGTCAACTTGACAATTATTCTATTATAACAGATGCTGTACATAATGTAGCTTTCTTGCTTACAAAAACTTACAATAATGGACGTTTTGTTTCATTCCAGAGGCCAACGCTTCGCTGTACGATATGCGGGACGTATCCGAGTTTGCCGAGTGGATTCAACTAGGACCACTTGATCAGCAGCAGCACCAATCACTGAGCGAGTATATCCCAAAGGTCTGATGCAGTACTGTGGTCTGAGCTAAACTCAGAGCAGCTGGGCTGCCCTGCCATGCTTTACCAGTAATACCATAACTAGGACCATGTAGTGCATTGTTTTTTTTTCTGATAAATAGATTCGTCTTTGCATTACCACCAGTCTACCAAGCGGCTCCACGATTCACAGGTTCTGGTGGAGCCTCTATCAGGACACATCTGGTCACGGAGCATTACTTGGACGTCATACACGGGCCAGAACGCCTCCTCATTGGTGCCACTCTGGACAGTGACGCAACACTGGCAGGTCTCTGATGACGTCATCACTCGACATCGCTGGCAGGTGAAGAAAACATATGTACGACGAGGCACGAGCTTCCTTTTCGAACAGTAAAGGTCAAGCTATACGGGACACTTTTTCGTTTTCCGCTTTTTCGATTTTTAGAATCGCTTTTTCGCTTTTTAGAGTCGCTTTTCGATTTTTCGCGTCGTTTTTTTCGAGTTGCTTATTTCGTGTATTTTCGGCTTCGCTGCCGTGGGGCTTCACCAATGTTATCAAGTGACACTGATCGTCTACTGAAGCCGAGAAAGTTAAAAAAAAAACGAAATGAAAAGCCGAAAAAGTGTGCTGTGGGGCTTATATCTTAACACATGTAACAATGATACTTATGTACAGTTTTTATGTTGACTTTAGGCTGAATAAAGATTTACGACTCGCTGAAGTTGTATGCTTTGCGGATGTCACTTCATTGAGTGCCTTCAAAAGTTCTCGAATTGTTGCATTAGGTCAGTGCTCATAAATCAGCATTTCTCAACTAGGTACGAGTTAACTACTAAGTGAAAATGATAAATCTGAAAATGTCTTTGTTTCAGTCGATTGTTATTTTGGAGGTCGGCTGTGCGGGGCTGGTCACCTGTAGTCTGGTGAGTATAAGGACGCCTTCTACTCTACATTATTGCGACTTTGGGCGAAAAATGATCGGGTTCTCCCATCATTTTTTTTTTTTTTTAAGGAAAAAGGAACAAAATACGATAAAACCATTGCCTCTTACAAATTACAAGACAATAGAAAATGTTGGAACACCACCCACTATAACTTAGCACAGCTGACCTTCCTTCTCGCCAGGTGGGCGGTCTGGCGGTGCTGGCTGGCTACCTGGTCTTCCTCGGCTTCATATCGTGTCGCGGCAGCGCGGTGGCTCCTCTGATGTCGACCCATCGCTGACTGGAGAGTCTGACAGCAAGCTGACTCATCAGGTCGTGGAGAGCTTGGTCATCGGTTCCTGGATTCTAAGTGATTCTTGTTTTACGTGTTGCCGCCGAGAAATGACTCGTGGCTGCTGATTAGGATGAGAAATGAGCAACGTGCCAAAAAGGAGAAGTGAATTGTTCCAAGCTGGACCGTGGGAGGTGCCAGCTGTAACGTATTTTATTGTATCTTGCACTTCTCCGTCCATGTCCGAACCATCAAACAACTAAGTCTAAGTCTAAGTCTAAATCGCAAACTTGCACTCATATTCCACGACCTTTTATGGAGGTGCAGGTAACAGCGCCACGGGAAAGGAGTGTTCCACTAGCTGAAATGACCTAAGTGAGGCCTCACACGGGAATGGGTTACTGAAGGCCGGCCGCATACCGCATCAATGTTCTAGATGTTGCACCCATTCTGGGAATGGGTAATCTGTATTTTCCGTCCATGTCATTCCGTCCATTTGTATGGGAGTGTTCTGTTACAACACAGATTCGTCCACTGGACATTTCCGAGTATGCATGTCTGCCGTATGCCGCATCGCCTGTGGCATATGTCATCAAAAGCGCGGCAACTGTAAAAGGAACGCCATCGTCTGTGAAGATACATCTGGGTGTGTTATGTAAGTGCAGCTGTTCATGCTTTGAATGTGGAATGTGCCAAAGAGTGAGGTAATAAAAGTATCCATTGGAATGAATGCAGGCCAAGTCACCGACCACTAGAGTGAATAGAATATCCAATACACCAGAAGGCAAGCGCATGCAATAAACTAAGCAAATTGTCAAAAATTCTTGAAATCCTGTCACCTTCAGCAAACATCGTTAATTCACCGCTACTTTCCTGGTCTAGCTAGTTTAACACACCCAGTATAGACCGCGGCCGATCGAGCCTGTATGGCCTGCCGTTGATCGCCGATAGCTTCAGCGGCGGGCGGCGGGCGGCCCGGTTTTGTGCGGGTATGTGTGGGCGACCGGCACCCCTATATGGTCAGCGAGAGTCGCCGGAACGGGCACCTCCGCCAGGCGAGGAGGTGCCGCCCGGCCCGCGACGAAGTCAACACCGCGCCGGTCCGGGCAGTGAGGGGAGACTCACTGGTTGCATGGGGAGACGGGGGGGAGAGAGAGAGAGAGAGAGAGAGAGAGAGAGAGAGAGAGAGAGAGAGAGAGAGAGAGAGAGAGAGAGAGAGAGAGAGCGAGAGAGAGAGAGCGAGAGAGAGAGGACTCGATCACGGATACGGGGAGGCTTGAGGCTGGAGGCAAACTGTTGGGAATGGGTAGTGTCTCGATGAGGAATGAGTTAGAGAGGAGTGAGCTCACGACTCACGGACTGAAGGGGTTCCAGGAATATACGCTCGGCAGGATGAATCAGAACATGAGCGAGTGCAGCAACTTTATTTGGAAGTATTTAAGCACATACCTTCACATATACCTACATCAAGGAGGAGGCTGTTGCAATATGGTGCCGGGATATGGTTCCTTCATGAGTGAATCATGGTCGAGCGCGGCCGTCTGGAAGGCAATCGTTGCTGCCTTATGTAATACATATCACTACAGCGTTCGGACGCTGATGAGTTTGTATGAGTTCGGTATTACATAAGAATTTACGGATCGCTTACGGATAGACGGATCTAGGTTAAGGCCTTTGGATTTGGATGAAAACTTATTGGGCATTACAGACATTGTTAATAGCCCAAATGGCAAATTAATTGCCTATTAGGTAAACATGCTTAATATTTTGAGGCAATATTCAAACCTTCCCGGCCGAGGGGTTGATACCATCCCCTGACGTTTATCACGTACGACCATTTGAAAGGTACAGTATAAGTTACCGTAAACCACACGATGTCCGTAGTATTTTTGGTCTGACCTCACAGGTCAACGGTTGACCTGAGACCTAAAATTTAGATACTCTTCGCTGCGTCGCTCAACAGCGCAAACGCACAATTTTCTGAGTTCTAGCTCAATGAGGGGAGAAATGACGATGGATCCTCTCTAGTCTCTTCCTTCCCAAGTCAGGTAGGATATACCTACCATAGGTTAGAACATATACCCCGGTTCAAGTATGGAAAAGCGTTAGGTCATTCGAGGATTGATAAACGCTGAGCTGCCGAAAAACACACTAAAGCGTACACAAAATGTCAGAAATTACAATTTTGCTGAAACGTGCTGAATTGAACCATTCTTTCAGACTTGTAAAAAACTGATGCTTACATAACCATTCAGATATCGGATTAAAGACCTTTTGCTGCCTGGTCAACAGGTCGCAGCATATTTGTGGCTTTCAGAATTTATTGACCCCAAGCATCCTGGAATGCCACTCGTGGCTGCCAATTACCAAACTGATCTCTGGATTCTGATAGCGTCTAACGTTTTAACGACGCAGTCCCAAGACATTGCCCTGAGCCACAATCTTCGATGGCCGTTCACGATTACTGTCGCATTCGTCGGAAACTCTTCCTAAATCTCCGAATGACCTCAGCCTGGGGCCAGCATCCCGTATGCAGATCTACGTGGAAAACCCTACTCACTGCAGACCTGTCACCGCCGGTGAACGTCGATCATCGGTGACGTCACGTCTGTAATGACGTCACCGGAGTCTGGAGACCGGTCGACGAGCGATGTAGCGGCGCCGGGTCTTCACTGTGGACCCAGCCGTCTGGAGCGGTGGACTGGAGCCGCGGCAGCTTGGTGGAAAGTGCAGAGACCAGATTTCACGGAACGACAGGTACGAACTGCTTAGATATGAAAGCTCCGGTGTGATTATATTCTACAAACGTGGTTTATTTGTTATTAGTTATATCACTGTTTTCCAGAGACGGTTTACCGTCCGCATGACTGCCCAACAAAAATAAAAGATGAGAAATTGTGTATGTAATAAGAGTATAAAATGGTACTTTGATGAGTTTTGTATGCCTACATATAATTACGTTTGCTTGAAATGGTTATGCTTTAACAACACGCTCATCGCCCGCCCGGTCGTATAAAGAACGCATCTTGTTGACATTACGACGTTTGATTCATTTATTTTTTGTTGCAGTAGCCAGTAACATATATCGATGATTCGTCATAGGAAACAAAGCGTAGTTTCCACATGACGCAGTCATTAGTTCCGCATAGGTTTTCCTTCCGCATTGTGTACTGTTATTACCAGCAGCTTTTTTACGGTATACCCATAAATGAATTAATTCATATTTAATTCTGGCCCCTTGTGAATGTGAACATTTCGTATTGATAATGCTTTTAGAAGAGTATGTAATTGTTTATAATAAGTAATGTGTCGGCTAAAAGGGCTTCGATAGTTAAATATTATTTTCGAAGGCTAGCTTTTTCTCTAAAAGGTAAGTATACGCTGCCGCTATACTTTCGACGATAAATACGGGAATTAATCCCTGAACATCGCTCAACTGCCAGCTCGTTGTTGATGCCCCATACAAATCAACGATTCCTATAGAGTACAAGCTCCATTTTTTTAACCAGCTGGCTTAGCTAGTATTCTCCCCAAAATTAAGGTGGCTAAAGAGCGTCACCTCCGGACCGGACACGCTCGATCGGGGTGTTTTCGCGGATCTGTCGCGGCGCTCGGTTAGATCTGCAGCCGAAGACGGCAGCGCGGTAGCAGAACCAGTTTGCCCCGTCACCTCCCTGGTTGGGACGGCGACACCACCTCGTTTGAGACGTCAAAGCAAACTATCGGAAGGCTGATCTATCCCAGACGGCCGAGCGACAAAGCGACTTGTCGGTACAGGAAGGCCTCTGCGACCGATTCGGCTTTTCACAAGGAAATTATGCGCATGATGGACAGTTATACTGGAATCCGACTTTTTGTAGACATTAGGCGAACGTAAACCGTTACGACGAGCCAAGTGACTTTAATTAACCTGCTTAGTTAATAGTTATCTGTTAGCTTGCACTGATTGGTTACGTGCCTACTTAGATGACGCATAGCTTCGTTATAATAATAAGCTTCGACAAGCGCGTTATACCGTATATAATTTTGCGACATAAGACCAAAAGTTGCGTCGGATTTCATAAAAAGCCGGCCTACGTTAGTGGGTTTTAATACCACATATATTTACATAAATGCATTATTCGGCAAAAGTGCTGACAAAGAATTCCCGTCCCTTTTCAGAATGGCAGTGGGCCGGCTGTTCCTGGCCCTTCTGGGCCTGGCTGCTCACACCTCTGCTATGCAGGGGTGCGCGCAGTGCGCTGAGGGGGGCGCTTCAACCGGAGGTAAGTCACACTCACAGCTGCGCCCAACAGCTGGAAGGTCAAAGGGATTGTGCAAACGGGGTCTGAGTGTTGCAACGCTGCGGCGTGTTGATTTCTTGGAGCTAGTCGTCCGATCCATTATACAGCAAGTCAGCTGACCAAACTGAATCCCTGAGCTCTCGGTATGGACCCCCAATCACCAACTGATGCATGGCAGGTGGTGATGTAGAGCAGTGGTCGTGAAACTCTGGGCAGGCTCGGATATTATCAATTATCATTTAAGTAGGTGCCGAGACTGCAGAGTGCATCTGAAATACTATTCCCTGCAATGGATTACTGATAAAGCCGAAGTGTTTAGCCGTTTGATGGAAATTTTCGGTAGCTGGTATTCGCGCTTTTATTCCAAAGCTAGCAGCCTACTGCACCCGGTAAAAGTTGGCCGCTACTGGTGTCCTGCAGAGCCGATTGACCCTGGATTAGCTCTATTAGGAGGACCTTTCGTGTCGAGCCATGCAGCGTCCACAGGGCACTCTGAGCCATTTTAGGAGGCAGCCAAACCCCAGGAGCGGCTCTAGCCCCCGGTCTGTCGGCCAAGGCCGCGCCGGTTCCGGCTCCGTCAGTCCCCCGGGGTGTGTCCTTACTCAGACCGAGCTCAACTGACACGACCGACGGCCGGTTCTTCTTCTAATGGCGGACCTCACTGAGCTGGGCTCAGCGCTAATGGCGACTGAAGACGTTGTCATGTCGCCTGCTGCAAGAACAAAGCAGCATCCCACTAGCGGCTAGATGGGTGGCCTTGGTGAATAATTCATTTATTCATGAGGATGCCGCGAACAATACAGCAGTCAGAGACAATGACCCATTCTGCACAGTGGTATATGCATCGGCCGAATCTGAAGTTTCTCTTTATACTTGAGAAAGTCCGCGACTTTCCATATCCCTTGAACAATATAGCATGAACTGGAATGATGGTTTTCATCAATTTGCACAACTTTCTCTTCGAACTATTTCTGGATTCATACCCAATTACTAATAAGCATACCTAGCATCTGTTTGTCTTTCCTCCTTGATCTTTTTTTTCTGCCCTAGAGTTCTTCCTTTCCTCGCCACGTCTACCTTCATATCTCGCTCTTCATTGTTTTCAGTGCTCCTCTGCTGAGCTGCCTCCCAACCTTCCGAATATTTCTGTCTGCTGATAGGCATCTTCCACCTTTCATTCCTTATACTCCAACTGACCTTGCCCGCGCCTTCCAAGATTCTCCACCGACAACCGTTTACGTTCACAACGCCTGATTGGGCCAGCTGATACACAGGGAGACCGAGAATAACACAAAGAGAAATGAATGCGATACATCGTGACCTTTGGTGAACCGTGCCGTCAGCTCTTCTTCGCGGGAGGATGGCTAATGTATGCGATTTATGCCGATGACTTTCTACCTCTATGTGCACTGTAAAATAACCTCTGGTAAACTACATTTACTCCCCGTCCAATGTAGTCTAAGGATTTGAGAGACAAGTCCATGCTCTGACTTCTATTGACCTGAAGTCAACAGCTCAACTAATAGGGCCCAGACTTTTAAGACTGAACAAGTACGCTCGTCCACTGATACATAATTCATTGCGACATAGGACCTTTGCCTGACAGTGACATATCCCTCGTCCATTGACTTGCCATACCTTGACTGAGCCAATTAACTTTTCTCAGCCGAGCTGATCCCTGATCGCTCGGTCGAAAGCCGTTTATTTCGTGTTCGAACTGACCTCTGATAACCCCGCCCACAGCCTTCCACAATGTGTCTGAACTGACCTCTGCTAACCCCCGTCCACAGCCGTTCACACCGCGATCCGGTCCGGCAGCAGCGGTGTCAACTACCGGCCCGTGTACACCAACCAGCAGGTGTACAGCCAGTCGTCACCGGTGTACTCGCAGCAGTACACGCAGCAGTCCAGCGGCCGGTTCCCGTCGGTCGGAGCCTCCTCAGTGGACCCGTGCGTCCCCTCTCCGTGTGGACCGAACACGGAGTGCAGCATTGATAACCGGGGTATCGGCGTGTGCCGCTGTCTGCCCGGCTACTTCCCCAAGCCGGATACCATCACCGGCTGTGGGCCCCAGTGTACCAGGTCAGTGGCGGGGCGTTTACTGCACAAAGGTCAGTGTGTAAAAGCTGAAACAGACTCTTTCCACATTCAGAAAATCGCATGCGAGAGCCTACTCCAATGCATTATAATTCTCATAGGCGTCGCCAGAGATTTTCGGTTGGGGGGGCAAAATCATTTTTTGTGTTAAATCTTGCCTTTCCCCAGTCTTAACTCACACGTTTTGCGTATCATTCGACGCGCAATGGTGCGAGGAATCCGATGGTGATAAAGTCTTCCTTCTAGCTATGACATGTAATTTTTACGGAAAAATTCGAAATTTTGACATTTCTGGACAAAAACGACCGGTAGATTTACAGTGCTGCGATTGCCGACGCACTGCAGAGGGCTCCTGTGTAGACGCTCGTCGCTGATAGACATGATCATCAATCAGAAAAAAGGTGAAAACGCTCCATTTAGTCCAGGGGTCGGCAAATGGTGGGGTATGCCCCCTTTGGGGGTAATGGAGCCCTTTCGGTGGGGGTAATGAGGGATTCTGAGAAAACCTAGCTTTTTAGAGTTAGTGGCTCATTGATGGAACCAAGCCTAGGTCAAAGGCATAGCACACATTGATTATATACCAATTTTCACGTAGCTGCTAGCCCCACCATCTCACTGCGGCTCCGTACAGTCGTACAAAAGCAGCTGCAATTTTTAACCGTCGCCCGTCTGTTGGCGTTTCCACAGCCGCTAACGTAAGGGGGAGGAGTCGATCGGACCCCCGCGGCCTCTCGGACTCTGAGATGGAGCTGTGCATAAAAAACGAGCGTATTACCCGTGACTATAGGAAGCCGCTGCTGCCCATTTTTAAAGTCCTTTGTCATTTCGTCTCATTCAGGAGGTCAAAGACAAGTGTCGAGAAAATCGGGACCCGCTATAACTTCTTGAAGTGAGATTTTATGGCTCAAGATGATCTACAGAAAAAGCTCATCAGCCAATGATCATTATGGGTCCAGAGGCCAGTTTTGCCGACAGAAAAATAGCTGCCTGCCGGAGTTTTGCGCCTAAAGACCGCTTCACATACGGAGCGTAAACGGTAAAACCCTATCCACTTACAATGCTCATCGCGCTTACGGTATGTGAAGCGGTTTTTAGGCAAAAACTCCGGCTGGCGGTTATTTTTCTGTTGGTAAAACTGGCCTCAGGTTTTCCCGGGCAGGTAAAGAAAACAAAATGATTGGCTCGAGGGTACAATTTGGTCGTGATCCAACGGCTTTTACGTGAGCTTTTACGAAAAACCACCGGCCGCCCCTTTATGTACGAGGGTTAAATGGGATATATTAAATGTTTTGTGGAGGAAGTGTCATGTTTTAAATTTGATGCATCGGAAATGCAGAAATACCCAAAGAGTTCCAGATGCATGGAATTTCAGTACCTAAACTTGGTTGTGTCAGCAATGGGGTATGGTAGGTGGGGGTAATGGCCCTGCCTGGCGCCTAAAAAGGGGGCACGACCCCGAATGGCCTGCCGACCACTGATTTAGTCGGATCACCCTGCTAAACCTCCATTCACGCATGCATGCAGAGGTTTTACGTGAAATGCATAGGGCTTATCCAAGCCGCCGATTGTAGCTAATTGGGCATTCGGCGGAGAGTGAATGTCGGAAGTGTGAATCGGAAGCAATTCATCTTTGCTCCAGTGAGAGGAAGTGTTTTGTTCACTCGAGTGTGAACAAAAAGTTTCTCGTTTTTCGTGTGAAGGGAAGCGCTGCAAACGCGAACAAAAAATGTTTAACGGAAACAAAAGTCACGCGCGGCATATGCGGCAAGGGATCCCTTGAGATAGGCTTGGGACTTCCAGGCCATTCCAGGCCACTCAGGGTCAGTGTGGACTCTTAGAAGCCTGCTTAGGATCCCGGAGATCGGTGTGGGTCACCCCAAATATTTACGTGCATGTGGTGCTTTGGGGCTTTCCAAGCCAAAGGTGGGGCCCTCAGAAGCGTGTGGGCGGCGGGCGCTAAGCGACTAGGCCCAGGGTGAGCCTGGAGCCCTCGGATAACAGTGTGAACCATCGTGGTCCGTGTCGAATCCGTAAGGACGCTACGTAGGGACATAAGAAATATGTGCTGCGACCCTCAGAGGGACACGTGAGTTGTGAGTTGTGACCCCTCAGATGCCGGCTTGGGGTTAGCAAAGTCTGTCGCCTCAAAAGTTCGGCTGAACTATCAGAGGCCAGTTGAGGTTCTCAGAAATTTTCGAAGGCATCCTCAAAGATCCATGTGGCCCTTCAGAGGACTACGGATGTATGCATAAGATCCCCAAAGATCCCAATATGGGCCCTCAGAGAACATGGACACCAGTGTTACTCTCAGAGGCCGGTTTGGGCCCTCTGAAAGCTTCTTAGAGCTCAGTAGAGCTCCTTAGGAGCCTGTGTGAAAAGCAAGCTCATGAGCCCTCCGGCACTTGAACAGTACTTGAGCCTGTCGCAGACATTTGACGAGAGTTGAGAAAGGCCCCGAAGATTTCGTGTCACGCTTTGAACGAAAATTATGTGTCAGCACTCTAAAACTTATGAAAATCAGCTATAAAATGTAATAAAGAACCCACTAGGAACAGGGAATGAATCACAGCATTGACATTTCCGAGTCTGGAGTCGGGGTCTTGCAGATTTTGGCGACTGCTACTCCGACTCTGGTTTGAACTGCACGCTCCAACCGAGTCTGACATCACAGGCATTCTCAGAAAGGTACCCCCCATTTTTCCCCAACTCCAAAATCTCATCGAATCTGTATCGATCTCAGTGGGTGCCCGGTCAGAGGTTGGGGGGGCAAGCTGCCCCGCTTGCCCCCCCGTGGCGACGCTAATGATAATTCTTCCCGCATCAATCGCATGCAGGAGGTGCGTGCGATTGATGCGAGCGTGCTTCTATGTATTTGAATAGGCTCTCACATATGCGATTTTCTGACTGCGGAAATAGTCTGTCTCAGGCTTAAGTGTACCAATAAATGGGCGAGAGGTGAGAGAGTGATACATAGCTGGGTCAGTGGGGGGGGGGGGGCAGTGGAGTGGCACCAATAATGTCACTGGCAAGGGTCGTACCTACTGTCAGGTCAGTGGAGGGGCGCCTAGCCAGCGTTGGGGAATCGCAAGAGGTCACTTGGCAAGAAAGCCATTCTAGTTAGTCATGCGACAAAACACCATGCTGGCATAACTTGCTGGTCACAAATGAGATTGTAGGCGATAGCTAACGCTGTTGTGTTCCCTCCATCACCGGTGCATGGCCAGGGATTTGTCTGTTGGCCCTCCGTAGGTCAAGGCCATCAGAGTCCTGGGATGACAGTGCCGTTTTCTTTCCATACAAAAAAAGATCGGAGTGGTATTGATTGATAGACCGAACAATGACTTGACGATGTTTTTATTTTTGTTTTCGTTCTCAGGCATAATATCAGGATTCAAATTAAGGTGTCCTGAAATGGTTGCAGGCTGAGGCTGCATAGCGCTTAGGGTAGATGTCAGCCATGGTACAAAGGCCCGATAAAAGAAAAGTTCCGTGTAAGATTCAGAGCTCAGCTGCCCAGATTAGGTCGGACTGGTGGCACCAGTGGTTCGTGGATGTTCCAGAAGATTTCCCGAAGGTTATCGAGTTCTTCATATGGGTAGGCCACGCCTTCAGTCGCCACTTATTCCGAAACTCAATGTGGAGGATGACTCAGCGTCGGGAGTCGATTATTCTCTCCAAGGACAAACATCATCCTTATGTGAATAGATCAACAACTTTGTAAATGTTACGTTGATAGGAGTGCAACGCTATCGCTTGTAAGCGCTATCATCAACACTAATGCGCACAATAAGTAAAGCACCATGCTTGCAAGTTAAAACGCTTCTTTTTCTTTCAGCGCCAGTGAATGCGGGTCTGGGTACAACTGCGTGAACAACAAATGTGTCCGCTCCGGCGCATCTGTAACAGGTCAGTGAAATGTAGGGAACACAATATAGTGAACACCATGCTGGCCTACGTATGTGTTACTTTGATTATGTCGCAGCGGTAGCTCGACATCGAGCTACCTCTAAGGTATGTACAGCCCACCGTTAAAGTAATGTGTGGTTTTACCAATCTCAACGGATGGCTTTGACCGACGATTTTTCAATACGGACTGATTGAAAAGAAGATGTCAATAGATAAAGTTGTAGCTGCAAGGGTGAAGATACATGTAAGCTACATTTAAAGTCTCGTTGCAGTCTGGCTAATCGTTCCTAGGCTTCAGAAGCAGAACATACCCATGACTGAAACCACACATTACTTCTGCTGTGGATTGTACTTTGGAGCCCAATACTTCATAATCAGAGTAGTTATGTGTTCCAATGAAAATGGACCCTGCAATGACGAACTATATAACCATTAACAAATAGCGATTTTTCAGGCATTCGAGGCACATCACAGACGATTCACCGGACCAAGACGGTCGTCTCCAGAAACCCAGCCGCCGCCTGTAAGTACCGCTCTTATTTTGTAAGTCAACAGAAACTCAGCAACCAAACTGTATTTACATAAATGCATGTCCATTTTTGCTTACTGGTACCCGGATCGATCAAACCAGTGCTCGTCCTGAGCCTAGCAAATGAGTCTGCTTTTATAAACTTTTGCCGTTGGGTTGAAAACAAACATGTCTGGTGGGTCATGACTGCCGCACCTACATAGATGAACAGTGCACATTTACGAGCTATTGATAGCTCCTTTTGATCTACCATTTTCGTGGTACCCGCTACCAAATGGCGAAGGAGTGCATTTTATAGACAGGTCCGACATTTGCCCGTGGACCGATACAGCAAACTATCTTGCTGAATCAAAATGGCTTTGATGCACGGGAAAGTAAAAGTCGTGTCAAAGGTGTCGTGTCGTGTCGTGTCGTGTCGTGTCATGGAGCTGAAATTGAAAAAATAGACTTACCCAAAAGGTGTGTTTAGCGGTCATAAGAAGCACAAAAGATCTGGCATCGATTTATAGCAGATTAGGACACTGGCCGAAGACCACAAAGGTTACTGTGACTGAGCTGCTGAGTGCTGACGGGCGAATGCGTTACAGCATATGCAATATGCATCCCAGTAAAGCAAGTTTTAACTTATGTTTCTTACTCGGAATAATCTTCAGTTCCCGATGCAGAAAACATCAATAAGATATAAGTAGCATAAAAATAAAGCTTTTTTCTATGCCTACACGTAGCTGAATCGCTGATGTCTCACCCTCGCCTGCAGCTGCGGATCCGTGCAGTCTGGGTCTATGCGGCCTGAACGCCAACTGTGACAATGTCGGAGGCCGGGCCGTATGCTCCTGCCCGGCCGGCTACTCGGGCAACCCTCTCGTCCAGTGTAACAAGGGCGAGTGCACAGGTGAGTCCCATGACTGATCACACACCGACACTTCCTCGAAGTACTGTCGTAAACTGCCGTCACTCTCGCTCCACATTTAATGAGTGCAAGGAATTACGAGGGGAAATGTCGCGGGGACAATGAACAGTTTTGCAATAGTCTTCGAGCTGTTTCACATTTTGGGAAGTTAAAGAGGGTCATTTGTGTGTTCGTCCTTTTTCTAAAGTAGGTATTTTATGCTTTCGGCCTCTTTCTGTCTGCATTATTATTGCCCACATGACCATCAATCATAATAAGTAAGTAACGCAGACGCACACGTAATCCGCCCACGCCTTCGCCAATCACATCTCACCACCATTTGTACCAGAACTGCACCGTTCTGACGCGACCTCCACCGGCAGAGGACTCTCAGTGCGGCGCCAGTCTGGCCTGTATCGGTGTCAACTGCGTCGACCCGTGCGCTGAGGTGCAGTGCGGTCTGAACGCCAACTGCAAGGTGATCCAGCACCGTGCCATCTGCAGCTGCCCCCGGGGGTACAGCGGTGACCCGTTCGTCAGCTGCACCCGGCGTGAGTCGAGCGACTGAGACGGAGGGGAGATCCAAAAGTTCTTAAAACTGTCAACTAGCAAAATTGACATACATTTTAAGTTAATTAAAAGCGGTTAGTTTTGTAGTGTCAGCTTTCCGTGTACATAGTTTCCGATAATATGTGACAATTGAGTCAGCATCAGGCATCATTTCGAATCGATAGTTTTCAGCTTATGCCGTGTTTATTTTATACAACTCATTGAGAAGACCGAAAAAAACTGCAGAGCCTTCGTATCTAAACCCTGCGAATCAATTTCATCTCGTCGCATATAAAATATGATTTTATTCACAAAATGTATCCTACCACACAAAGGGTCTGTTTTCTAGCTCTCCATCACTTCACTATCCCACGATATCTGGCCCACAGAGTCGCCAAGGGCGGCGTGCAGCCCGTCCCCCTGCGGCACCAATACCAACTGTGAGGTCAAGAACGGCCGGGCCATCTGCAGCTGTGTGCAGAACTACATCGGTGACCCGCTGGTGGCCTGTCGTCCCGAGTGCACCAGCGACGCCGAGTGCGCCGGCCACCAGGCCTGTTCGCAGGTGAGAATATCATAGGTGTAGATACTGGGTGAGCTTTGGTCAGATCTTGGTGCTACAGCTGGTCGCAAGGCCTGAGCAAAGAAGGAAAAAACAGCCTGAGCTGGTACTGGGTGAGCCACCGTGTGAGTTTGAGCTACGAGTATTTGAGTTACATCAAAAGAAGCTGCAACTGAAAATCAGTCTCGAGTTCATGACAAAAAGGCCATAATGCCTGCAGCGGGATGCGCAAAGGTCGATGCTCAACTTGTACATTCAAATATGCAAGCATGAAAGATATCATCGAGTATGCAGCCCCTGAACGCTACGCCCCCTCTGTCCACAGAACCGGTGTCGCAGCGCCTGCATCGACGCCTGCGGCGAGAACGCCCGCTGCGACGCCGTCAACCATCGCCCGGTGTGCAAGTGTCCCCAGTTCTACAAGGGCAGTCCTCTGACCGGCTGTTTCCCGGAGTGCACCAGCCACGCCGAGTGTGCCGGAAACCGCGCATGTATCCAGCTGCAGTGCACGGACCCGTGCGCCGGCGCCTGCGGTATTGGTGCTGATTGTCGCGTGCGGGACCACACGGCTATCTGCTCGTGCCCGACCGGCTACCTGGGCCACCCGTACGACCGCTGTACTCCGCCCGATCCGGGTGAGAGGGGCAGGGAGAGGGAGAGGGAGAGGGAGAGGGAGAGGGAGAGGGGCAGGGAGAGAGAAAGAGGAGGGAGAAAAGGGGAGAGAGGGAGAGAGAGAAAGAGGGACGGAGAGGAGAGAGAGAGGAGGGAGAGAGAGGAGAGAGAGAGAGAGAGATAGAGAGAGAGAGAGAGAGAGAGAGAGAGACAGGAGAGAGGGAGAGGCTGCTCGGGTCAGGGTAGTTTAGGGTAGAGGGGGCGCCAGGCTACCTATAGGTCATGTCATCCTTACGACCGCTCCACTCAACCCGACCCAAGTAAGAGGGGGAGGGAAAGGGATGGCTATTCGAACCAAGGGAGGACAGTGAAGGGAGGGAGGGGCACCCAGCTGGGTCGAGCCGGGCCTGACCTGACTTCCCGCGCTGTTCTTTGTGCTGCAGCTGCCGCCGTCGCTACGGCCGCCTCTGTCCACGGAGGAGGGTCTTCTGGCACCGTTTGCGATACCTGTGAGACGAGCGCCGGTGAGTAGAAGTCTCGATCAGAGACCCTATTGCACATTCGTAAATACAACTACTCAGTCAGGTCACTGCACATGTTCATCGACTACTGCTCATTGCATTAAGGTTTGCATATTAATCCATAATTTGGATGGTGACTTTATGCAGAGATTAGTCAATCACGACCAGCTAGCTAGTATAGGGGAAGTTGGGGCAATGCCGGAGTTGGGGCAAAGCCGAAATTTGAGATATTTCGAAAACCGTACGACATGGATGCCACCTGTCAGTGATGCTCTGAAGCTTAAGTGACTACCAATTATCGCATGTTTGTTACCAGTCGTCATTCGGAATACTTCGGCTGTGAGGGCGCCAAGAGCGTTTTCAAGGTACGTTTCCTTTGTACTACATGCGTCTTCGAAGCCGCATTTCCTACTCATTATGCTACCGTTTGTCTGGCCAATTCGGTCAAGTAATCTTCAGCACGTCTTTGCATAAGTGTGCTGCCTATTTGAAATCTATACAGCACGTTGAAAAGTTATGGGCCTGCAAATGAAAGTATGGCTGGCTGGGGTAATGCCGAAAACGTGCAATTACGCGCGTTAAAGCACGCTACGTGAACTTTACCGCTGTAGAATAGCAACGCGTATTTTTAGTCACACAAATTACACTTTTAACCGACACAACGGCCTGTCTGTTACCATAAGGAATGATTTACCTGGCCTTTTCTTATTATATCACACAATCATAACTTCCAGTGTGCACCAAGGGTCCTCAAGCTCTTAAAACGCGTGTCAGCTTTGACGAATTCTGGATAAAATTTGAGATAAAATAGCAAAACATCAATTTCGGCATTCCCGTAGATCATTTCTCCCATTTTCGGCTTTCCCGCAGTCCGGGGCAACGCCGAAAAAGTCACTTCTTTGATATTTTTAGTTTGTGCGCTTAACGGTATGCGAATTCAACAAATGCGCCTGGTATGTTTGAAAGGCAAAAGGCTGGCCTCTCGAATGACGCCAACAAGAATAGCTTATGTTGTCTACCTTGCGTGCTACGGGCGTCAGAAAAAAAGTATTCGGCGTTCCCCCAACTTCCCCTAAGCTCAAAGAAATGAGCGTAGCAACACTTAAGTTTTTTTCACTGTTGTTTCTTATTTCTGCTGTGCGCGACTTTGCCTGCCTACGTTTTTGATAGTGTGCCTCACTGACACGGTTGTATTCCATTGTTTTCTCAGGCAACGCTGGATCATCTTCTGGAGTGTTTGTGCAGACTGCTCCGTCCGTGGGTAAGAATAACTGCCATCATTGGAATGTTTAAGGGTGCATACCAGTAACGTAGCAAGTCACTCTATCCTTGAGGGTTTTGGTATGCTACATTGCAGTCAACATGACTTTTTGGATATATCGAAGAACAACCATTTCACTAAATATCTTCTGCTTGTTAGGCATATAACTAGTGCAATAATCACTGTGCAATAATCCAGTGTGCACTGTGCCTAGTCCACCATCACTTCCATTTAACACAGTCACTCCTCACTCCTCTGCCGTCAGGAGACCTGTGCACGCCGAACCCGTGCGGACAGTACGCCGATTGTAACCCGGGAACGGACAGGCTGGGCCAGCCGCGGGCCGTGTGCACGTGCCCCAAGGGCTACCTGGGAGACCCGCTGACCGCCTGCCAGCGCGGCGAGTGCGTGGTGAGTGCTTATTCGGATGGCGGCAGGTAGAGAGCATCTGGCCATTGAGTGAATAATGAATATGGTTGTTGGATAGGTGATGGATTTATTTTGTAATGACAAACAACTGAGCTGAACCACCATTGTGGCGCAGTTGGCAAGTGCGTTCACGTTTGGCGTGGGAGGTCCTTGGATCAAAGCTGACCTATGGCAGCGTTTTCCTCGGCCGGCTCCTACCCAGGAGATGGCAGTAACTGGGGAGTGTTCGCTCGGTCGTGGGGATTACCGCGCCAGCCAGCGCCCCCGGCTGCAGGTACGGGGAACCGCAGTTGCTACTGTACACGAACCCCAACTCTAGCCGTCTGTCCTGTCCAGTAACAACCGATAACATTGATATCCGACTGCCGGTCCCTGTGTAAGAGCAGCTGAAATTTTCTGTGCGTGCCCTCTGACAGCTTATTTTTGTTCCCTGTGAGTGTGCTGGGACAATTTACTCAGGGTCGCTGTACAGTAGCAACTGCGGGTCCCCGTACACGGGCCTGATCCGCCTTTAAACAGATCCTTCGATCCGGTGACATGTCCCGAGGGCACGGCCTCGCTTCATGTCCCGGAGCAACCCTCTGACCTGCCGGGCCCGAGAAATCGGGATAGCCCCAGCGTGCACACCAGTGCGGTGCCACCTGGGGTGCGTGACAGGAAGCGTGCGGTCAAGGCTGTCCCGCGTAGTGGGTGCCGAAAACGATTCGTACCACTGCCGTGTATATGTTACGGGTCATATGCTAACTCGGGCAGTATGCAAACTACCCGGGCAGTATGCAAACTACCCAGCAGCCCGGGCAGTATGCATACCGCCCGGGTAGTATGCATACTACCCGACCCCTTGGGCAGTATGCATACCGCCCGGGCAGTTTGCATACTGCCCGGGTAGTATGCATACTACCCACCTTTCTTCTCACGGGCAGGATGTTGACTCGGGCAGTATGCTGACCGTGGCTCGTGAGGCTAGTTAATGCAACAGCTCGCATACTATGTCAATGGCAGACACTTTAACCCGCGCGGAGCCGCGCTCGGCGCCAGCCGTGCCGTTTTTTTTTGGGGGGGGGGAGGGGATGAGCACCTCTGACTCGACTCCTGTGCCACTTGGCGGCACAGGAGTAAGCTACATGTAAGATGCGGTAAGCAGCATTCAAAATAACATCAAAAATCATAGAAAAACTCCAGTCATGTTTAAGTCAGGCCAAAGATCAGGTCACCAGAGGTCATCAAAGGTCAATTTTCACCTTTTTAACTTTTTTTACAAATCGGCCCACAAGCTCGGAAACTAATAGAGCTAAAGCGCCGCAGAGATACGCATTCAGTAGCTCTTTTAACGCTTTCTGGATTAAACCCTCAAAGTTGACCTAAGCTCAACGGTGCAGCCTCCAGAGGGCAACAACGCTTAAAATAGCTGTTTTGACGATTTATTTTACGGCAAAATTAGTTTACCTTAGATAGGCACGACATTGCGTTTGCCGGCATCGTGTTCCTCTCGTCGAGACGCGTCGAGTTAACTATAATTTGGCTTTTAAGACCACATTAAAATTTGACCTAAGGCTAAGGTCATGACCTGACATGAAAAGGTCATGTTGGTTATCAGGCGATCCTTATCGTCGACTTAAACACATCTAAGGTTGTTTCCATCGCTCGCATACGTCTCCATAACATAAAAAGTAATCGTAAAAAAAACTACTGCAGATCTGCTATGACCTGACATGACCTCATGGTCATAAAGAGGGGTCACCACAAGTGCAATTTGCCGATTCAGTGTGTTGTGTTTACATGGAACCCGATGTTTGAGAGCGTTTAGAAGGACTTTTATCCAAAAAGGCGTCTTTCAACTTTCTCCTGTCAACTTCTAAGAGACTGTGCAAAATTGGCCTGACCTTAGGTCATCGGTTGGACATCAAAGTGCCAATTCATGTATTTTATACATACTTTTACTGTTATTGATCGCTGAAAGTTTCAAAGCGATCGTTCAGTCGGGGTAGCTATGGCGAACAAGTTCTAACTTTTTTCTGAGGTAAGGTCACTTGATTTGCCCTGCAGTTACCTGACCATAAGAACTTGTTACGCCTTACATGCAAATGGTTTCATGCAGTGAGCATTAGCTATTGAAACTGTACTTACGTCCTCTGCAGGTCCAGATGCCAAACCAAAGCCAGCGAGTGATGAAACTATAGAACTCCCTTCATTTCAGATGAAAAAGACTTGTTGGCCGCTGGCTAATATTCTGAGAAAAAATTAAGTCATATTCCAATTCTTATTCCATCCTTCAATCGATAAATCGCGTTTGACGGCAAAACATACTTTGTAGTTAAGCTACGTTACTCACTGCCATTTTTATTTTTAAAATGGACATGGAATACACAACTTCAAGACGAGAAGCGGGCAGTATGCAAACTGCCCAAGCATTTGGGCGGTATGCATACTGCCCAAGGGGTCGGGTAGTATGCATACTACCCGGGCGGTATGCATACTGCCCGGGCTGTTGGGTAGTTTGCATACTGCCCGGGCAGTCTGCATACTGCCCAAGTTAGCATATGACCCGTAACATATATAGTGTATCTAACCCAGTATGAATGTGTGCTACTAACGACAAAAAGCCCGGGCATGGTGTGTCAAAAGTGGAAATAGCCGCCCGGCTTTAGTTCGCCAGCCTTGTCAATAGATGGCAGTACCACAATATGGGCAGCGGATCGTGCAATTGACGTCAAATTTTCGTTATCTGCTAAGAATTGAATGGCGGATCTTTTCATGCAAGAATCAAGTAAATCGGTCCACAACTTTTCTAGCAACAGAGATATGTAGTCAAACACCCTGCCAGAGCGGCGGCGCGGCGGCCGGCGGCAGCCTGGGAGACTGGCGGGGGCGCTGAACGGTTCCGACTTGGCACTGCACTAAAACCTGTTAACTGCTTGGAATAGTTATTATAGCAATATTTTCATTCAAGTGAGGGATAACCAAGGGCAGGAAGTATGTATGCTTGTGTGCGTGCTATGTAAGCCAAGAAACTGCATTAGCAGATACTCGCTAACATTAGATCCAGCCAAGTCCAAACGCATTCCAGGGGATGTGTTCCTGATGGGTCAACAATATTTATCGTTCGAGGGCGGATACAGTTTTAACAATACAAAAAATATTTTTGCACAGCTCTATTCCTTGAATAATTCTCTTCAACGCCTCATTCCTAGTTAAGCGAATTAGCCCACCCTGGTTGAATAAATAAGGCGATTTCGCCACAAGGTCGCGGAAAACCGACCGAAAACGGCCGCGCTCAACGTTAATTTGGGCATGCAGGCTCTTAAATACTCGCATTGGGCGGGTAGGGTTTCCCAGGTATTGGCTCCAAAACACCGTATTCGGCTCCCGAATACGTCCAAGTGACCCACCTCGTTCCTAGTTAAGCTCTAATTAGATCAAGTGACTCATAAGGAGCGAAAAAGCGACAAAAAGCATGAATTTCCCTATGGCGGCGGGCTGCCGGGTTGCCAGACGGCGCACCGGCTATTTCCACTTTTGACACACCATGGTCGGGCACCAAAAAATATTAAAAAAAAAAACAACTGAGCTTTGTGTGACTTTGATGAAAGTAAGAGACCGTAAGATATAACATTTGCTTCATTATGTCGTTGAACTGAGAGCACAAAAAAATCTTTTTCACATTGACGACCATAACTTGACATTGACGTTAATTGGCGTCTCAGCGTTTCGAGCAAAGCAGGCGCATAAAGAATCATCAGTCATTAGCCAGCGCCAACTGAACTCGTAACCCATTTAACTCCGTGTGCATTTCTAACTCATTTTGCCTCTCAACTCTCCAGGACCACTCCAACTGCCCGGCCACCCAGGCGTGCTACAACTACATCTGCACTAACCCGTGCCTGAGCTCCTCCGGCGGCAACGTGTGCGGCACGAACGCACTGTGCCGCGCCCAGAACCACAAGGCCATCTGCTATTGTCCTCCGGAGTACACTGGGGAGCCGCTGACCGAGTGTCGGCTCAAACCCGTGGCCAGGTGAGAAGACAAGGACGATGATGGAGGGATGGGCAGGGGACAGAGTGATGGGACAGTGCACAGAGGGATGGGACAGTGGGTAGAGGGACGGGACGGGGAAATAGGAATGGGATTGTGCACAGAGGGATGGGGCAGAGGATAGAACAGTGGACAAAGGGATGGGGCAGAGGATGGGACAGTGGGCAAAGAGTGGGACAGTGGACAGAAGGATGGGAGTGGGGAGGGGGTGGACAGAGGGATGAGACATTGGACAGTGGAACGAAGGACTGGAGGGAAGAGGGCGGGTCAACAGAGGATGGGAAAGGCCTGACCGGATGGTTTGTTAGAGAGTGGTTCCGGGTTGTCAGGCTCTGTCCTACCCAATGATCACGTTTTCTTTTCTTTTCAGTAACCATAGCGGTTAGACTGGCTAACCCAAATATCAGCAGACTGGACAAGTCGCTGAAGGAAGGAGTCCACAACTAACAGTCAGCACGACAATCGACAACCGGGGAGGCGAGAAGAATGAAAGGCATTCACAGGCAGTTTTGTTCGACCTAAATGAATTAACGAGACTTTCCGAGTGTCAGAAACACCCTACACTTGTTCTTGTGTTAGCATGACAGGTGTTGCGTTTAATAGTGTTGTAGTGAGTGGATGTTGTGAATAAAGGAAGATCAGCCACTATCAGGTGACAAGAAGATGCTTGCATGAATTCATAACGGTTTTAACCCATTTTCCTCCTGCTGCGGGCAAGAATTTTCTAGGATGCTGAGTGAGTGATTTCGGTGTACTTAGGAATGGTTGTGTGTATAGCTCTGAGACACGTGCTGGGCTGAGAAGGTGCGAACATTTCGTTGATGTGGGTTTTGTGCTGAAATGTTCACATTCAGGTGAAATATTCGCTGGCATCGCATGTGTTTTGACATAGGATAACACATTCATGTTCTGGTCAAAGCATAGAGAAACATTAGATTTTAGAGAAACATTAGATAAGTAAAGCGATGAATGATAAATCTTCTTGAAATAAATGTAAGTAATCTTCGAAGGTACGAGCTCTTTTCATTTTTATATCATGAACATTCTATTAACATGGGATGAATATTTCTCGCTAATAGAAATAATGTTCATACGAATGCTATGAATAAAATGTTCCAATTGATGGTCTAGAAAAAGCCTGGTTATAGACTCTGTAAATTTTAAAGTTGCCTATATTTAGAGAAATAAAAATGTGGAATGCTGTTTTGCATTCATCACTAATGTGAGTCATTTGATAAGATGGGATATTGCGTGAATATAGGTTACCGAAGTTACCTACCGAAGTTTGAAAATGTATGGGGTCTTTCTAGAGGGGTGACTACGATTTCATGCGTAATCCAGTTTCTAGTCTCGTTACGTCGGATGTCTACAGCATTGAAAAATGACTCTGCCGCCTTCAGTTCTTCTCGAAAAGCTATACAAACTACGAAGAAGCAAGTTGTTTATAATCTTAAATCGATGTTTATCATCTTAAACGCATCACAGTCCGTAGGTACGGCTCTCGCGAGATTAAAGGGACCCTCCCACCTTAACATTAGATTTGAGTTGAGATAGCCAAAATGGGGTCCCTGGCTCACAATTACCGGTTTCGGCACTCACAGCATCGAGAAATGCCTTAAATCGGAAATATTGAATTTCAAAATTGCAGCATTTGGATTCAGAGGGGCTAATGCATAGGAATACCCCTCTGAATGTGTGACGTCAGCGCAGATATCTAACGATTTTTAAATGTTTGACTAAAACGTTTTGTAGCACGCGGTGGTATATGCTGCTTTGCGCGCAACATCTGCCGCGAACGCCGCACTTCCAAAATGAAGTCGCTAGGAACAGCGGATATCCAAAAAAAGTAAACAAAAGTAAAAGTCTAATATCTTGAAAACCGGTGAATATTTTTCGGTGAAATTTGGTACATATTCGTTTTTGCTCTTTCTGAATCGAGCGACATCACTTTCATGCTAATTCATTAACTTTTTTGAAGGTGGGAGGGTCCCTTTAAGGGTAGGTTTAACACTTTTACATTTCCGGTTATATCTTAAACACTAATCGATCTACGATGAAGCCATTTTACACGATCATGGCCGGCCTGTGAACCAACAAGTCGATCGCATCTTCAACACTTAAAAGCTTAAGACGACGAAGATATAGCCTGAAGAGTACACTACATTTTCTAGGTGCAAAACCTGCCGCTAAAACCAGCGAGACCTGTACGTACTACGTACATATGTGTATATTTCGATATCGACCGAACGTCTCTAAATTTACACTAAACATCACTTTAAATCGTCACTCAAACAAATCAAACAAATCGCTCAAAATCACTTCAAATCACTTTAAATCACTTTTAACCACTTTAAATCACTTTAAATCACTTTAAATCACCTTAGAAATTTACACTTGTCATGCATTGCAAATGAATTTACCACACACATTCCCTCGACCCCATCCGTTTCCCGTCCCGTAACAGCATCGCTCCCACACATCTCTCCCACTTGCCGGACCTGTCAGCCACAAATCTCTCCTGTCAGCGCCGCCCTGCACGCTATCGAGTGACACAGGTGTTCACACAGCCCCCGTCCAGCTGTGGCGACGTCCGATCGTCGTCACGCATCGCAGAAAGTTGGGAGACGAGTGATTGGGCCGAACACGGGGAGCGCGGAGGTGACAGTGGTGGGACAGTGAAGTTTGAAACGTCAGACAGACAGAAACTGACCCAGTGAGGAGAGACGGTACGATTCGTGAGGTAAGCGCTACAAAATAACATTACAAAGATAAACGTGACTTTTCAATTTGTGAAAAAAAAACATAATTCCGCCCTTAGCGTGACGTAGCTCAAAATTCAAGCTTCAAATGGTCCAAAATCATTTTCGACAGCAGTCTCACAGTGTCCATATCTCTTGCTCTATCTTATTAGTTATTATACACATTCACCTATTGCCGTTACAGGCTTTGCTTGCCACCCTCAGTTTCCCTGTCTGGTCGTCTCGCCAGTTATCTCGCCATGCCGGGTCAGGCGTACGAGCCTCTGAATGGACCACAGAGCGATGAGCGTACCTACCTGATGCGGGGCGACTCTCGCCGACAGCGGGGCCTGATTATCGCGGCTGCAGTGGCCTCTCTGACCGCCTCCCTGCTACTCATCACCGCCGTCTTCCTGCAGATGGAGTGTGAGCAGGGGGCCACAGTGCTCGTCGTGTTGTGGGATCGGGCTGAAAAAGAAAATGATTCATCAGGCTGATTGCATGAGGACTTGAACAGTCGTCTTGCAACCTGCAATAGCGTAACTATCTGATAAATAAAACTACTTATTTCAGGAAAGACAAGCATTACTATGAATGGTCAGCCAACAAGTTGTTTCTATTTTAAAAGCATTTCTCCTGTTCCTCTGGACTCCCAATCTAATAACTATACATCGCAATAAAACGTTATGACAAAATGTCACGCTTATTCGCCCTGTAAGAAGTTTTGTAGTTTTCTCATCTCAGACCATAACAAAAACAGACTGTGCATAAGGCCGTGCTTCACAGACAGAGAAGCCCACCACCACGCCGAGCAGATGGAACAGCTGTGCTCCACCACAGCGGCCCCCCAGTCCACCGCGCCGACACAGCAGGCGCCGTGCACAAGCGCGGGGTGTGTCAGAGCAGGTCAGTGTATACCAGAACGCACAGTGCAGCAGCGCAGAGTGCATCCGAGCAGGTTGCAGAGGCTATCAGACAACGGGAGAAACGGTATAGTGCAAGCTGCATGCGCATTTCACATAACTCTCAGCCAATGAAATAAAAAGCCTGTGTTAGAATTGTTAATAGAGTAGGTATCGATCTAACCAACGATTTCTATTTCCCATCTCTCTTCTCTGCATAAGGTATCACGCCTATGCCTCATTCTGTCATCCTATGCCACTTTCATTCGAGTACAAACAAGTTTTCACACCCCTTTTTCACAGCGGCGCGGATTCTGGACTACATGGATCCATCGGTGGACCCGTGTCAGGACTTTTACCAGTTCTCGTGTGGCCGATTTCACTTGAACCAACCGCGTCCCACGGAGGAGGCCACCTGGAACCATTTCCTGATGGTCAGCCGACACCATCAGACGGTGATGAGCGAGGATTTGATGTCTAGAGAGCCGGAGGACCTCGCCGGAGCGGCAGGAAAGGTCCGACAGGCCTTCCAGCAGTGCACTAACATGAGTAAGTTGTCAGGAGGGTTGATAAGGTTGAAGATGGTTTGTTGAGGAATTGCTTTTACGACTTACGACCGAGGGTAATAGTGTTCTCACAAAACAAATGTCAAAACAAAGCTTCGTCATTCAGATTCTTACAATGCGCTTGTCAAATGCAGCAATATTTATGGCTTTCATTGCCGCAAATCAAGTGTTCAACACACCTGTGTACTACCACGAGTCACGACCTTGATGTTTTGTCACAATGCCGACTCTAGGTCAACGGATACAAATATTTCGAAACTAAGACAACCGGATGAATTTAGTCTCTGATCTCTCCGGTAAATACCTTTAAACTACCGCACACCAATTAAATACCTACAGCTTTATGATAAATGGCCAACTCCAAATACATGAACTTATTGCTTGTTTGTCAATTCTTAGTTGCTTGAATGTGCTCCCACTCAGCATCTCACCTGATCTACCAATCCAACTATTAACTATAAACATAACTAACTTGCCATTGACATAACCATAAATCTGCCGCAGCGTCACGTGACCAGGCTGGCGTGAGTCGTCTGTCGGCGGCTCTGGAGCGGATCGGCGGCTGGCCGGCCCTGTCCTCCCTCACGGGGACCCAGTGGAACAACACCGGCTACAGATGGTCGACGGCAGCGATGTTGGCGCAGCGCTACACCGGCAGACTGACCGGAGCGCCGCTCGTATATCTATCCGTTTCCATCGACGAGAAAAACGCAACACGGCACCTGTTGCACGTATGTAGAGTAGCGGGAGCGGCGGACTGGGTTTGATGTTGTGCGGTGCAGCATAACTTCAGACGCTTACAACTAGAACCATCTGGCGGCAGGAATATCAAATTGTAAGCCGCTCGCTGCCGTGCGGCGCAACATAACTTCAGGCGCTTACACTAGAGCCATCTAGCGGCAGGAGCAGTAGAAAGTTGTCCGGGACATTCAGTGATTGATTTCCGCACGATTGTCATTTACTCGCGGACGGATCATCCGATCAGCCTCTCAGTCTTTCGTCCTCTCTCCCCTCTCTCTTTCTCTTTTTCTCCTACTCTCTCTTTCTTCTCTCTCTCTCTCTCTCTCTCTCTTCTCTCTCTCTCTCTCCTCTCTCTCTCTCTCTCTCTCTCTCTCTCCTCTCTCTCTCTCTCTCTCTCTCTCTCTCTCTCTCTCTCTCTCTCTTCTCTCCTCAGGTGGATCAGCCATCTCTGGGCATGACCCGCGGGATTCTGGTGGAGCCAGAGTCTAACCCCGCTGCACTCTGCCTACGAGCGTCTCATCACCGACACTCTGCTTCTGCTGCTGCCAAGGGATGGCGAGGGACAGTCAACTGTCAACGAGACCGTCAGAGCGGCAGCACAGGAGGCTGCTGCCCAGATTCGGCAGTTCGAGGTCCAGCTAGCCAGGGTGAGACTGGTGACAATGCGACGGGGAGAGTGGTTGATATTACGCAATTGTGTCACAATTTATTCAGACTACGGGTATGCGCAAACTGTGTAGGTAAATGTCATTGTGAAATTGAATGACTCATGATGTACTGTTTTTTTTGCATACATTAGAAAAAAAACACTTCAAAAATGTCGGCATGAAAAATTATGGTTATCTTTTGCAGCTAACCATCGCAGCCGAGAACCGTCGAAATAGCAGCCGGATATACAACAAGATGACGCTAAACGAGCTCCAGCAGCTTACCGACCAGATTCAGCCAAACATGGTTCGTAATCGTAATGCTATACGAAGCGCTGGATGCCTTTATTGCATGTCAGCATTACACAATTGAGTTGCATAGTCTCGAGCCAAAAACGGTTAAAATAATACAAACGAAA